TCTTCATAAGTGTGCAACAGGTTATAGTGAGCACAGTTTCTTTTCTTTTTTTAAAAAAGATTTATCTATCTATCTATCTATCTATCTATCTATCTATTTATTATGTACACACTGTTCTGCCTGAATGTATGCCTGCATGACAGGACAGGGCACCAGATCTCATTGCAGATGGTTGTGATCCACCATGTGGTTGCTGGGAATTGAACTCAAGACCTCTGGAAGAACAGCCAGTGCTCTTAACCACTGAGCCATCTCTCCAGCCCTCGAGTACAGTTTCTTTTTAAAATACTATTTCCACTTGTGAGGTCAAGGCATATATATTAATATATATATATATTCAATATTCATATAGTCCCATACACATATATATTTATACACACACACACACACACACACACACACACACACACACACACACACAGGATTTATTAGAATGGCTTATAATCTGTGGTCCAGCTAGTCCAACAATGGCTGGCTACCAACAGAAAGTCCAAGAATCCAGTAGTTATTCAGTCCATGAGGCTGGATTCTCTGCTGGTCTTTGGCATATGCTGGAGTCCCAAAGAAGTAGGCTCTAATGCCAGTGAAGGAATGGACTTGCCAGTGACAGTGAGGGAAAGCAGGCAAAGAGAGAGCTTTCTTCCTCCACGTCCTTTATATAGGCTATAGAAGGTGTGACCCAGATTAAAGGTGGATCTTCCCACCTCAAAAGATCAGGTTTAAAAGTGGGTCTTTCCAACTTCAAAACACAGGTATGCCCAACCACCTGAGTTTTAGTTAATTCAGATGTAGTCAAGTTGACCACCAAGACAGTGTATAAGTGATTGCCTGCATGCATGCATGCATGTGCGCGTGTGTGTGTGTGTGTGTGTGTGTGTGTGTGTGTGTGTGTGCGCGCGCGCGCGCGCTATGTTTGTGTTTGGTGCCCACAGAGACCAGAAGAAACATTGGATCCCCGGAACTAGTTACACATAGTTGTGAACTGCCAAGTTGCTAGCTGTCCTGTTGGTGCTGGGAACCGAACCTGGGTCCTCTACAAGGGCAGAAAGTGCTCTTAACCCCTCGGTCATCTCTCCAGCCTTTTGTTTGCTTTTTCAGCTGTCAGCTTCTTACACTTGCTTGCAGAGATAGTCTCTCCCCATTGACTAAATGAAGGCTGTCCCATACAGGTCTTTGTACTGATGGGGCCCTGGGTAGAACTCGGGGGTCCATGAGTTTAGATGGGAAACTGACTCCACCCTTACCCCCGACTTAACCCTGAGCTGATGTACACAGGCATGTACACAGGCAGCAGGGAAGCGCCCCCCACAACCTCCCGCTATTCATGGGGCCTGGCATTCCATCACGTGTATTTTTAGTTAATGGTGCAGCTGTCACACATGTCTCCAAGTGTTGTTTATGTCCAATGTTATTTCAGAGCTACGGGAGTTATAGGAGCCATGGTTAGATTGTGTGATTTACTGTGTTAATGTAGTAGTAGTAGTAGTAGTAGTAGTAGTAGTAGTAGTAGTAGTAGTGTGTCTCAAATTTGGTTTTCCGGGTTTGCTAACTGGGTCTTATTATGGCTGATTTTCTTCAGTCTTTGCACTTGAGAAGGCACTTAGCCGCCTGCAGCCACACATGCTCTGTGGGCAGCTGTCCATCCTGAACGCTGCCGCCACCCGGGCTAGGTCTGTTTATTCACTGCTGGGGCTGCAGCCTGAGGTGGGCTGGGCGCCGTGTTAATTAAATTCCTGGGTGTGGCATCTCTCTCCAAGAGGTTCAGATCCCCTGAACTCTGCCTGCAGCCTCCCCAGCCAATGTGAGCGGCCTCTGAGGCTGGGCTGAGCCCTGGCTGCGGTGAGGTGCGTTACTGGGTCACCGAACCAGCATGCTCTCCTCGGCAAGCCCTGCCCGTGAAAGGGTTCTGCTAGTGACCAGGGGGCTCCTGTCCTCTGAGGCTCTGGGGATGATTTTCTGTCCCTACGTTCCTGGCTTTGTAAAAAAATAAAAGCTGAATTCTTGGAAGCTAGACAAGACCGGCAGCTAGTGGGCAGTTCCTGGCCACAAAGAACCAACGTGGAGGCCAGCACACGTGAAGGCGCATTTCAAAAGAAGCACGGAGAGACAGGGCGTGGCTGCAGGTGTGGATTAAGTTTCTAGAAAAATGTCAAAACAGCTCTAAAAGGAAAACAACGAGTTGGGGGCTGAGCTCTGAATGGGCAGCAGCCACGCCTAGCATGCCGCCTGCCCTGCACCGCCCACCCATGCCCATGTCCTTTGGCCCAGCACAGCTGGCACGGCCTTTGTCTGTGTCTCTTTGTCTGCCACAAATTTCTCCACCCAGTGCCATGGGGATTGAGGCCAGCCAGATTCCCAGCCAAGGCTTTTTGTGTGATTTAGTCATGTTCGGAAAAGGTTTTACTTATTCTTTTTAATCATAAAAAGATGGCTGCTCTTTCCCGAAATTTTTCACAAAGTTTTGTGAGATTGAAAATCCGAGATGGGCCAGAGAGAGGGCTGAGCGGTTAGAAGCACTGCTCTTCCAGAGGATCTGAGTTCGATTCTCAGCACCCACGTCAGGAGGCTCACAACCACCTGTAACTCCAGCTCCACAGGATCTGACAGGTCTGGCCACTGCAGGCACCCATGTTCATATGCACATACACATACATACATACACACACATACTTAAAAATAAAATAAATATTTTAAAAAATAAGTAAAAATAAGGGGGCAGAATCCTTCAGTGGTGATCTTGGCAGGGACAATTGCCCTTTGCCAAGTAGCTTCTGAGGCTACGGTGGCTCTCCTCATAGGAGAAACCTCAGGTCTTATATAATGGCAACCAGGCCTTTGAGGGGCTGGGTCACGTCTACATACCCTCAACTCTTACTTAGTCACATGAGCCCAGTAATGGGGAGTCCCAACCTTTTTATATGAGTGGATTTTTTTTGCTTTTTAGTGTTGATCTTTTTTTTTTTTTTAAAGATTTGTTTATGTCTGTTTTATGTATGTCTGTGTACCATGTGTATGCATGCAGTGCCTGTGGAGGCCAGAAGAGGGCGTCAGACACCCCTGGAGTAGCAGGTGGTTGTGAGCCACCATGTGGGTGCTGGGAAATGAACTCAAGTCCACTTGCAAGAGCAGCCAGTTCTCTTAAGGCTGAGCCATCCCCCCAGCCCCTTGTTGGTGGTGTTTTTGTTAGGGGTTAGGTATATATTAAAGACATAATTCTGCCTCACTTTGGTGTTGTATCCTCAGTGTTCGCTTCCACAAGTCCCCACTAAGCTTGCATTCTGTGGGCGACTATAGAGTCTCAAGTGCAAGTACACCATAGACCATAATATAAACCAAGTCCCTGCGGTTGGGTGTGGAGGTCACTTCTAGCTTCCTTTCGGTTAGCCACTTTATTTTTTATTATTATTATTAGTTAGCATACAGAATGATAGATTTCAGGATCTGTGGTACATATGACTTTTCATTCACACATCCCACTGCTCTTTGCTCCCCTCCCCAGCTCCCCTCCCCATCCTCCTTATCCCCCCCATTGGTTCCTTTCCTCATTCCAAATAGTCTCCCCCTGCTTCCGTTACATGTGTGTATGCACATGTGTGATATAATTAAACACAGATTTTACATATGAGTGAGCTTATGTAATACTTTAGATATCTCCTTCTTGCCCATCACCCTCTCTTGTTCCCCTCTCTTTAGACCTCTACTTTCTGCCCTATAGGCACCTTCTACTCATGTCCTACACATTTTTGTCATTTTATTTTTATTTTTTTTAAATGATTTATTTACTTTTATTTCACTTGCATTGGTGTTTTACCTGCATGTATGTATGGCTGTGTGAAGGTGCCAGATCTTAGAGTTAGAGACAATTGTTAGCTGCCATGTGGGTGCTGGGAATTGAACCTCAGTCCTCAGGAAGAGCAGTGAGTGCTCTTAACCGCTGAGCCATTTCTCCAGGTCACATTTCGCCATTTTAAATAGTAGCATGGCTGGGATGCAGCTCCATGGTAGGGTATTTCTTTAGCAGACGCACAGCCCCGTGTCCCATCCCCAGCATTTGCAATAAAACAAAATAATGAGAAAATGGTGTGTGGGGAGTTTAGTGTTAGAGTGTACGCCCATTCTGGGCTGCTTCTTCCAGCAACCTTGGACGTTCTGTGCAAGGCATCATGGGAGACTGGCAGATAAGTCAGACCCAATCCCTTCACACAGAATGTGGATGTAAATAACCTTAATCCAAAGCAGGTTATAGTCGCTGTCAGCTGACACCTAGAATCGGAATGCAAAAGAGTTTTGTCTTGGTTTAATGGGATTTTAGAGAACGCTGGATGAGAACATCTGAGACTTTGCACTCACAGTGCAGGATGAGGTTAGGAGCAGCCCAGCCGTGGGGATTGGTGTGGGTGCGTGGCTTGCCCCAGCTGGCAGGTATCACTAAGGAACGGGTGGGCTTTATCAGATGGACTGGGTCAGCTGATTGCCTGTGTCTGTGAGGGCACCTCCCAACCCCACCTCCCGCTCCACAGAGGGACACAAACAAGAATTGCTGGGGACCCAAGTTGGTGTGAAGTGGGAACAGTATAAACTCACATGGTCGTCTCCTTGCCGTGTTCATTTCGGAGTGCTCTGGGCTTCTGTGATGCCCGGGGCAGTGTTCTTTCAGTTGAGGGCTTGGATCCATTCAAATCAAGCTCATTTGGGGTCTCGCCTTCTCTGTCTGTGAGCTTTGAGAGCTTTGTGGAGGGCCTGAGAATGTAGATAGGAGCCACCTTGCTCCCAAGCTAGAGAACGGGACAGGGAGGCTACGTGACAAGGGGATGTCTCTACCAGCTGCTGCTCGCCGCACAGCAGAGGCTGTACCTGCTTTCTCCCTGTCCATTTCCAGCTCTGGGCACCTAGGATTAACCACTGTGCCAAGTGGGGAGCATCATGGGGAGCACTGGTATGCTGTGCCTGCTGCTGCCTGGGGTCTCTCCATAGCTCTGACCTCATGTGGTCCTTCTCAGTCTCCACAGGTGCCATGACGCAGCAGCCCCAGGAGGACTTTGACAGAAGTGTGGAAGATGCCCAGGCGTGGATGAAGGTGGTACAGGAGCAGCTTCAGGTCAATGACAACACACAGGGGCCCCGAGCGGCCCTGGAGGCACGGTTGCGCGAGACAGAGGTAGGCAGTGGCCGGGCTTTGCTGGCAGTGTGGCATCGGCCATCTCCCTCCTCCTGTGGCTGAGAGACTAGAGTCATTCACACCCTGACCTGTGTTTAGATGTCTTGGTCATTTTACTTAAATATACATTCTGATAAGGTGGTTTGGGGCTGAGGCTGAGGTTCTGATCTTCCAGAAAGTTCTACATGATGACCCGGCTGCTCATCCAGGCTTCTGTCACAAAATGTCCCTCCTTCCATCTGGGGTGGGGGTGGGGAGACATCTGCACATACAGGTGAGTCCCCTAACCCTCTTGGCTCAGACTTGGCTCTGCCCAATACCCACATCTTAAATCCAAGGCTTCTGCTAGGCCTGGATCGCCCCACTTTTACCCTCAGTAGGGAGCAATTAAGAACCAATAGTTGAAGGCTGGAGAGATGCCTCGGGTCTAAGTATGTCATCCAGCTCTAGAAGAGGATTCGAACTCAGTTCCCAGCATGCCTCTCAGGTAGCCCACAGCCACCTGTAACTCTAGCTGAAGGGGATCTGTTGTCTTCTGGTCTTCGCTGGCACCTGCACTCACATGCACATACCCTCACACAGGCACATATACACATAACTAAAAATAAAATAAATTATTAAAAAGGTGGGAGGAGTCTGGAAAAATGGCTCAGCAATTACAAGTACTTGCCATTCTTTTAGAAGACCCGAGTTCAGTTCCCAGCACCCAAGTTGGCAGCGTACAACTGCCTGTTACTCCCGCTCCAGGGGATCAGACACTCTCTCAGCCTCTGTGGACGTACATGTTGTATACACACAGGCATACACATATGTCGATTTGCTCAGAGCTTGCACAGACACACCGAGAAGTGCGCTTTGCCAGTCTCCCAGGTGGCTCTCGATCCTGTCAAGTTAACAGTTGAGACTAACCATCAAGTCCTCTGTTGTCTTCCTCTGAAGCTCTCCCCACCTCCCATTGTCTGCCAGAGGAAAACTAAACTTCACCTGGCATTAGAAATCATCATGTCCACCCCCCTTTGCTGTTACCCCTCCCAAGACTACACGATCCTCCTCTATTTCCTGTTACTAGGCTTTTGCCCATGAACTGTGTCTCCTCAGAATACCCGTCAGCTTGGCATGAGTAAGCGTGTGAAACGAAATACTGCCAGGCTTTTCTGCCCCCAGCTGGCTTCCTGGCACCCTCCTGCCCATCACTACCCATCAGCACCCCTGTCCTCCAGTGCCCTTCCCCAGCAGCTCGTCACATGAGGCTGGCAGGTTGTGAGTGAGGGCTGAGAGGGACATGGGAGGAGCTGTTGTCTAGGCTGGTGAGTGTGTGCATGTGTGTGTGTGCGCACACACACGCTTGTATGTGTATGCATGTATGTATGTGTGGATGGGCTCAGCCCTGGAATTGGGAGGACCACCTGATTCCTGTGGGCTAGGACACTGGGACACTGGCCATACTTGTGGTCACAGAGCTCCCAGATCCTCTTCCAAGTCCCCATGTTTCATTCTCTTCACTCTGTGGTTCCCAGCCTTCTGGGCCTGCACTTGAGTCCCATCCTCAGATTTCTCACCAGCTTCTAGGCCTTGTTCTGATCAGGGGCACCTTAGCATTTGCTGGGATCTGGCTTCGAGAAGTCAGGTGTGTGCATCCACAGCTATGTCTTGCTTCTCCACTTTTCGCTCCTCTGCCTTTCCGATTGTGGGCACCATTTCCATGCTTGGCATCAATGCTGCCTCCTCCAAGAAGCCCTTTTGGATTTTTCCCAGTTCTAGTTCCTTTTATGATTCTCTTGTCTGTAGCCCTCCCCCTGTCCTGCCAGGAAATCCCAGAATGGGCCATACTGTCCAGTGCCGTGCCCAGCCTGTGGTCAACTAGTGTTGGCCGGGTTGAGGGGAAACCCTTGAGAAAGTCTGCTCTAGCTTTACTGCCTCCTTCTCTCCATCGAATCCACACGCCATCTTTGCCACCAGCTGCTCTGAACCAGCAGAGCGATTCTGCTGTTCCTGTCTTACCAGACTTCCCTGGGATCCCGCTCACCGGTAAGGGCCCTTATGCCAAGCAAAAGCTACAGAAGGGAGCCCCCATGCCATGGCAGGGTGGGTGTGGCAGAAGGAGGGACCAATTCTTCCTCTCTGTCCCCCCACCTCCCCCTTCTCTGTTGCGGCCTCAGCCCCTCCTGGCCTCGGGGCACAGCAAATGTCCCTTCTTGCTTGGTAACAGGTAGGGAACAAGCCTCTAGGTCTGGGGAAGGGAGGCTTTTTTAGTGTTCTGTCTCCTCTGGGACCTTTCAGCTCCTTTCAAGAAAGCATCATGATTACATGCTTGGAAAGAGCAGAGGGTCTCGGGCACTTTCTTGTCTCTCCAAGACACTGAGGAAGACAGCAATACCTCCATGACCAGGGCAGATTGAAGAAGCAAGAGCCACTTGGACTGAGCATCCGGTGCGCAGGATGCCGCCCACCACCAGGAACAGGGTCCTGCAGTATGACTGGGAATGAATCCTTTGCTGGCCTGAAAATTGATTGCCCCTCCCTCCCATGGGAGATCAGGTGGGCAAAGGCGAGATCACTCAGTAGGGTGCTTAGCTTTGGGAAGGAGAGCTTTGTCCTTGTCACCTCATAGGCAGGGCAGGTTCCTTAGGGGTGTGGCCTGGGAGGCTGAATTTCACTTCTTCCCCCAAGTTAAAGGATCTCTTGGTTGGCAGAGGCTAGCAGATCCCCGTGAGACTCAGGGACCTAGGATCCTCCCAGGCGACTTTAGTCTCGACCCCTGGCTTCTGAGGGTCCCCAACATTCTTAGCTGTAAAACTGGAGTGAGCAACATAACAGGTGTGAGGACTGTGACGGCTTCTGCATCCATCTGGGCATGAGAGATACCATCTCCTAATTATTATTATTAATCAGATCAAATCTCTGGCAGGCAAAAGATTCGTTCCCAGCCATACTGCAGGCCCCTGTTCCTGGTGGTGGGTGGCATCCTGCACACTGGATGCTCAGTCTAGAGCATTCCGTAAGTGGCTCTTGCTTCTTCAGTCTACCCTGGCCATGGAGGTATTGCTGTCTTTCTCATGACTGATTATTACAGAGTGGGACACAGGTTCTTGTAGCTAAAGTTTTCCTGTGTCCACCTGGCTCCTGCAGCCGCTCAGACCCAAGTAAACACAAAGAGACTTATATTACTTATAAACTGTATGGTCATGGCAAGCTTCTTGCTATCTAGTTCTTATATCTTAAATTAACCCATTTCTATTCATCTATAAGTTGCCACATGGTTTGTGGTTTACTGGTACTTTTACATCTTGCTTCCTCTGTGTCTGGCTGGTGACTCCTGACTCAGCTTTCCTGTTCCCAGAATTCTCCTCTCTCTTTGTCCTGCCTATACTTCCTGCCTGGCTACTGGCCAATCAGCACTTTATTCATTAGCCAATCAGAGCAACACATTCACAGCATACAGAGCGATATCCACAGCAGGTTCTTGTCTGGGGGCCTGACATAGCCACTGCCCATAGAGGGTGACTTGTCACGTCCTGCCACCCCACAAAACAAACAAAACCTCTTCCCTCTTGTAAGGATGCTTCCCGCTCTCCACTTGACCTGGTCCCACACAGAGACAGGGGAAAGGGGAGGGGACTCTTAAGTTTCACTCTTTGATAACATGTGTGAGTGGGAAGTCTCCGTGTTGTCATACACTGTTGTCATCCTGGTTAACTTTGATCATAGGAAGCAAAAGAGAGGGCTGGGGACTATGTACATGTGTTGGAGGAGGGTCTGTCTAATTACGCTACAGTTGACAAAAATGCTTACTTGCATGTTCTGTCAATATGCTTAAAGCAGTATGTAAGTTGGACATAGCAGGGATTTCTATATTGTCACTGGAGTGAAAGGGATGCATAGAGCAGTCATGTGACCTGCCTGAGGTCACTCACACACTGTCAGAGAAGGCCACATCTGAATGTCAGGATCCCTTCCTTCTCCATCCACCTAGAAGGCACAGAGACAACCAGGCTGCCCAGGACATGAGTGTGAGAAAGTTGGGAGCTAAGCTTGAGGTTAGGCCAAGGGGAGCTGCCAATAAGTCAAGCAAGTAGGTGGAAATAAAAGAGAAAAAAATAGATTCTGTTGTCTGCAAAAACAATGTAATAATAGTGGCTAGTTACTGGTGCCTAGGGCAGTGAAGCATGCTAACGTGACTCAGTTTAGCCCTGGTATTGTAACCATCCTGCCTGCCTGTCATAGGCCTGAAGTACAGAAGTCACATGGCAAAGGTCACCCTATTAGTCCATACATGGCCCTAGACTTAGTCCCGTCACCTGATCGGGAGGCCAAGCTTCAGTCTGTGAGGTGGGAATAATGACACTAGTGATGGTAGCTGTGGTTAACTACCTGCTGTGCCTCATGCCCACCCTCAGACAGCTGAAGGCAGGATGAGGTTCAAGATGTAGGATGTTGAGCTGGGGCTGGCGGCACACGCCTTTAATCCCAGCACTCGGGAGGCAGAGGCAGGTGGATCTCTGTGAGTTCACAGCCAGCCTGGTCTACAGAGCAAGTTCCAGGGCAGCCAGGGCTACACAGAGAAACCCTGTCTCAGGAAAAAAAAAAGATGCAGGACATCTAGAGGGGATGTACCCCTGAATGATAATGGGGCACAGGGCTAGAGGCATATCAGAGGGGTAAAGGGGCGTACTGTGTGTTCCAGTTTCATCCTGCAGCTGTGATAAACACAGTAACCAAAAGTGGAGTGTAAAGGGATTATTCGGCTAACACTTCCAGGTCACAATCCGTCAGTGAAGGACGTTGGGGCTGGACCTCAAGGCAAGAGCTTGAAGGAAAAACCACAGAGAAACATTCTGCTCTGTCTTTGTCTTTCTTTCATCCATCTCTCTCTCTCTCTCTCTCTCTCTCTCTCTCTCTCACACACACACACACACACACACACACACACACACAGCCCAGGCCTACCTGCTACCTGCTTAGGGATGGTGCCCCCCACAACGGGTAATGAACAATCAGGACAATTCCTTCACAGACCTGGCCACAGGCCAATCTGATCAGGAAGATCCTTTACTTGAGACTCTCCTCAGATGAGTCTAGGTTTTGCCAAGTTGACTAGGATACCTCATAAACTTGACTACATGAGTTTGATTTCCAGGGCCCACAGTAGGAGAGAACAGACGCCTCCAAGTTGTCCTTTGACCTTTACATATTACTGTGGCACACACTCACCCACACTCACCCACATACATCACACACACACACACACACACACACACACACACACACACACACACACACACAATTATTATTTATAAATTTAAAGAAAGAGGGAGAGAGATGAGGGCTGAGAGACAGGCTGGAGACAGACTGGATAGATGTAGGCAAGGCTCCGGGGTGTCCTTGAGTGACTCACCCATCAGGAATGGACTGCCAAATTCCTGTCACCCGTGGGAGCAGGGCCTTGGAGCAAAGGGCAAAGCAGTGTGACTGACTCCTTTAGAGCCTTGGCTGGGTGGGGACCACAATAGCATCTCACAGCAGACTTGAGGGTGTCACCTCAAGGCCACACACATGGTGATGAACGCTGCCTACAATTGTTTTCTTATGAGTTAAAATCCGAAAGGTTGATCTGCTCATACCGTGGTACAGGACGCGGAAGGCACATCCCAGCAGAGAGTGAACTCTGTCTGAGTTGGAAGCTGGATGTGGCCCAGTGGTCAAGGACAGGGATAACCTCCAGGGCTCCCTCTCCCTTCCCAAAGCCCCCCTAGCAGTTTGCTCAGGGGGCACATCAGAAGAGTATAGAGCCTTAAGCTGGGTTGCAGCAACTCTAGCCATGAAATCCCAGCTCTTGGCGCTGGAACAATGTCTGTGCCTGGTGGTGGTGTGTCTAACCCTGGGAAAATGGCTGTTGTATCCACAGAAAATCTGCCAGCTAGAGCCTGAGGGATGCATGAAGGTGGAACTGGTCCTGCGGGCGGCTGAGGCCCTCCTGGCAACCTGCCAGGAGGGCCAGAAGCCTGAGATCCTGGCCCAGCTGAAGGATATCAAGTCCCAATGGGAGGAGACGGTCACCTACATGACTCACTGCCACAGGTGAGGATGGACAGGGGACCTCACTGCTACAAGCTCAGATGCTGGTGACCCTTCTTACCCATCTCCATACCATCTTGGGACCTCTGTCTGAGTGACACTTCTTCGGACTTAGGGGTCCTGGGAACAGCATGTCCTCTTTGGATTCAGGCCAATGTCTCTTTCTAATAACACACAGGCGTAATGGTGATGCTGGGTGGACCCTGGACACTCGAATTGTTGCATCAGCAGTCCTGATGGGCTTGCGTATGTGTCCTCTGCAGAACGGCAGGCGTATGAGAAGGCCTGGCCTTGACCAGGGAGATGGCTCAGTGGGTAAAGCGCTTACTATGCGAGTATGAGGACCTTTCGGATCCCCAGAGCGCATGTACATCTGAACGTGGTAGCGCATGACCGAACAGAACTCTCTGCCTTCCAAACCCTTCTCTCTGACATTACAAACGAATGTCTCCATGTTGACTGCAGAGATAGGGTCCTCTAGAGAGGTGGACACTGAGGCAGATGAACGGGCGGAGCTACCCTGAGAAGTCACACAGGCCCTCAGTCCTCTATCACTACCTGTCGGCCACTAACTGGCCCGTGGATAGTTGTATTCTGCCTAATATCAGGCACAGTCCTGGAGCAATCTTCCAATTGCTTTCAGGCAGTATATGCTAAGGGCCTGGGGCCACTGTGGGCAGAGTGAAGGATTTGTGTACTGGCAGTGGGAGTTCAGAGCAAGAATCTGGGGTGCTGGTGGCTCAGGGCCCCCTAAAATTCATCTCCCCAGTGGGTGGCTGAGGGTATTATAGAGTCCAGGCTTGGCCTCATCTGGGAGATTACTTACAGGATGTAAAGTCTCATAGGAAAGGAGAGTCTAGAATCTGGATTGTGACTCGGCATAGAGAAGTCACCTTCATATCCCTACAACACAGCCCCTACTATCTGGGAGGGGGCAGCGACAGGGTTTCTATACCCAGGAGCTGGGGTCAGGCCTCTCAGCCCCTCCATCTCTCCCACAGCCGCATCGAGTGGGTGTGGCTGCATTGGAGCGAGTATCTGCTGGCCCGGGATGAGTTCTACCGCTGGTTCCAGAAGATGGTGGTCGCTCTGGAGCCGCCTGTGGAGCTGCAGCTGGGCCTGAAGGAGAAGCAGTGGCAGCTGAGCCACGCCCAGGTGTTGCTGCATAATGTGGACAATCAGGCTGTGCTCCTGGATAGGCTGCTGGAGGAGGCAGGCTCCCTGTTCAACAGGATCGGGGACCCCAGTGTGGATGAAGATGCCCAGAAGAAGATGAAGGCTGAGTACGATGCTGTGAAGGCCAGAGCCCAGGTAAGCCGTGGATGGCTCCGTGCCCATCCATCCCTCTTCTGCTCACTCATAGTCAGTTCATCGCCCCAGTCTTTCATTAGCTACCCCCCATCAGTCTATCTACACACCCACTTCCCACTCAGCTTCCTGGCCTGTCTGCTCCCTTCCCCAGTATATTAGCAAGCCTCCCTTTCACTCACCCCATCCATCAGTCTACACTCTCCTATCTCTCCTGCCCATCTGATCACTCACTCATCAGTCTACTGCTCCCTAACCAACTAGTCTATTTGTCTCTCCAACCACTTAGCCACCCACCCCACCCATCTACCCACCCATCGAGCCAGCCTCTCATGTCGTAATCATATCCATCTGTTTTCTTGCCCGCCCCCTACTCATTGTCTGCTGTCCATCTTCACCCACTTGCTCATCTATCCGGCACCTGGTTACCCATCCACCCATCTTGCACCTACCCATCCACCTATCCTTCCACCCATTGTCCATACGTCCAGAGTTGCTCAGGGCTTCATACACATGTGGATGTTTAGTAAACATGTACAAAGTAATGGATTGTGCAGTTCATGTCCCCCAGTGGCTTTCCTTCATCCTCCATCATTCCTCCCCTCTCTTCCTCCCTCCCACCTCCCTTCATTTCTTCCCTTTTAGTACCCCCCCTTCATCCCTGAAGCCCATCTACTCCTGCTCTTGCCCTCACCCCAATCCCTCTGCCCCATCCTCTCACCTCATCCTGGCCACGTTTTGGCAACAGTTCACCGAATTATTATGTTAAATGGTTACTTTTTGGAAATTCTGTTTTTCTTCATTGGTCTTTATCTGTCCACCTGTTCCTTTATAAAAATGTCCCTTGCCTGCAGCAGGATTATGTTCTTACTGTTATTAAGCATCCATGTCTAACAGTGGGAGCTGCAGGGGTAGACACTCGGTGTCACTGTGTCTCCTGCAGGGTGGATAGGCTTCCCTGTGGCTCTGTGATTTCCATCTGAGCTTATTCCATCAGGGCGTGGTGCACATCCCCATGGCTGAACCTGCCCTTAGCACAACTCTGTGTTTGCTCCAGCCAGGCACTCTGGGAATCAACCTTCATGGTCCCTGTTTCTCTGTCTCTGTGCTTGCTTGGTGGTTCCTGATGTGAGTGTGCTTATTTGTGTTTTGGAGACAGGTTCTCACTGTGTAGCTCTGGCTGCTCTGGAACTCACTCTGTAGACCAGGCTGGCCTCTAACCCACAGAGATCCACATGCCTCTGCCTCCTGAGTGCTGGGATTAAAGGTGTGCACCATCACGCCCAGGTTCGAGTGTGTTTTTTAAAACTGATCGCTGAGCCAAATTGATGCCATAGGCTCTTGGTTCCATGTTCTGCAAGATGGCTGGCTTTGTTTGTTGCCGATTTATTTATTTGTTTTAGGTAACTCCTTCCTTTTCATACTGCATTTGTAGAAATGTGTGTGTGGTCTCCCAGTGGTGGAGAGTGAGGGCGGCACTCTCGGGCTCTGTCCCTCTGCAGGGTCTCTGCTCCTCCTGGGTTGGAAAGCCATTATTCCTCTTACAATCTGAGGGAACAGTCTCAGACCCAGCAACCAAGACCCAGGTGCACTATGTGGCTGGTGGTCACAGGTCCTACTTCTGCAGCCAAGTGTCCCTTTCTGTGGTGTGCTGTGGTCTGCCGTCCCAAAGGATGAGTCTCTCTTTGCTGTATTCCTGCTGGTGTTGTGGGAGGACACTCACTTATTTTCCTCAGTGCTGGAGTCTCTTGGGGTCCTCAAGCCCACGAAATTTATGGGAAAGAATTTCTATAATAAGCCAGTGTGCTGATTTCCATGCCTGAGAGAAAATACCAGAAGAAAACAAAGGAGGAGAGGTTTTTAATTCGGCTCACAGTTTTAGCCGGCTCAGTCTGACTCCTGCTCTGAGCCTGAGGGTGGCGTAGAGCATCATGGCGGAAGGAGGCTGTGGTGGGGCAAGCTGCTCACCGCTTCAGCCAGGAAGCAGAGAGGAGTCGGTAGCCTCTACTTTCCAACAGCCCATTCAGCTCAAGGCTATCAGTGGATTGACCCATTGATGAAGTTAGTGCCCGCGGATCCAATCGCCTCTCAACAGCTGGAGACCAAGCCTTCCACACACGAGCTGTGAGGGGACATTGACATCCAAATAGCAGAGAATGGAAATCCATTAGAGACACTGAGCGCCTGAGAAGGGACTGGGTTCCAGGCCAGGCCTTGCTGCTTCCCATTGGTATAGGGGTTGCTCACTTAATCATCACTAGGTGTTTAACTCTTGGAGAACTGGCCAGTGTTTGCCCGCCATAAAGGATCTCCCTTATTCTCAGTGTATGAAGGACAGACAGAAGCAGCATCCTTGTGTGGCACATTGAACTGTTTATGAGAATCACACACACATACACACATACACACACACACACACACACACACACACACACACACACACACACACACACACACATGCTCCTGGGGACACGTGGCTCCCCAGGCTGCTGGCCTGGGTCAGGATGGATGGACACAGTTGTATCAGGTTGACTTGGCTCTTGTAGCTGGTTACCCTTTTCCAGACTCTACAAGTACCATGTGGCCAGGGCAGGCACAGGAGGAATTCTCTCTCCAGGTCTGCTCCTCCAGGCCTGGCTAGGAAAGGTTCCTGGCTGTTCCCTGTGACTTACAGAAACAGGTGAGGACAGGGAGCAGAGAAGAGGAAGCGTGAGATTTGTGTGTTTATATGTGTGCATGTGTGAGAAGAAGATAGGTACCAGGGGAAGTTGGTGAGTACCACTCCCACCCCAATTCAGAAGCCATCATGGCTCATCGCCTCTGGGAATCTCACTGTCTGCCTCATATGACCCTAAGTCCCCCAGAAATCATAGCTCTCCGGAGCAAGTATTGTCTTTCCTAAGCCTCTTCTGTCTCTACCGCTTCAGTCCTCCGGCCGTCTTACAGTGTAGACAGGGCCTCTTACAGTGTAGACAGATGGGAGAGATGTCAGCAGGTGCTTTTATAAAGGCTAAAGACAACAACAACAACAATAACAATAATAATAATAAAAATAAAAATCAGAAGGTCAGGCACCACTGACCCAACAGAAACAGCCAGAAGTTCGTGATTCCCAAGGTAGACTTGGATCCTGGGAGTGTCCCCACACCTGAGTCCATCGGTAGGTCCGAGGGGTAGATTGGGTGTAAGAGCAGCAAGCTCTCTGAACTACTGAGCTGCTCTCCAGCCTTCTCCATGTCTACCCTGTGCATCCCGGTTGTCAGGTTTGGCAGCAAGGGGACAGTTACCTGCTGAGCCACCTCGACACCCCCAGTCTGTTTTTATGGCTGTCCAACCTGTGAGTTGATGAGCCTCTGATATGGGTGGGGACAGGGCCACCCCCTTTGGCTTTGGAGACCACCTCTAAGAAGCTTCTAGGCCCAGTGTAGAGGTGAGCAGCAGTATCAAAAGGAAAGTGCAGGCAGGCCAGCTGGTGCCAGGAGTGTCTTCCTTGTTTGATTTGAAACCATTGCTTCCGAGTGGCAAACAGCAGCATCCTCCCTCTTCCGCCTCTGAGAAGGGCTGCCTGGCATCAGGCCATGGGTCCTAGACTTTCCACAGCCCTTTGTTGGTGACATAAATCCAAGCCACCCTGTTAATTGCTTGGGTTTTGACATTGCTGATAACTCTGCTTGCTGCAGATCGTTTAATTGTGTGGTTTAATGAGAAGGCGGAGCCCTCAGCCACTCCTTACCCTGTCACCCTCCCACTGGCTGAGCTGGCTTTGAAATGGCTGTGCCTGGCGCTCAGCTAATCTGGATTCCTGCCTGCCGCCACTCCTTGCCAGCGCCTGCTCCTCATCACACGGACTTTTATTTGCTCTGGACTTTCCTGGGTGCCAGCACCTCATCATTTACACAGGCAGTGTTACCCACCATTCATTACTAGGGGCGGAGGGGGGGGGGGTCCTTCCCACCCTCATCCATTGCCATCAGCATTAGGCGCTAAGGTTCCTGGTAACCCGCTATGACTCATCCGTGAGCCTTTCCTGGGATTGGAGGGCGCTGTGCGTGTGCAAACCACACCACAGGAAGTGGGAACCATTGAGGGAACTGAAGAAGCTCCAGCAGCTTTCAAAGGTTGAGGACTGATCTGTGAAGGCAGTGGTCCTTGCCAAGGCTCTCCTTTGGGATGCAGGTGGTTCTTATCTTGAGAGTCTCAGCTCTTTCCTAAGTAACCTGGTCCCAAGCCTTAGCTACCTCATCTCTAAAATGGGGAGATTTTCTTCTGCATGTTGTGCATCTTGCCGAGGTTTAATGAGCTATTATTATTGAGTGGTTTTTGGTGAACAGTGTCTGGAAGGAGGGGAACTGTGCACAGACTATCTGCCCTCCTCACTGGAGGAATTGGGACTCAGCTTCCCACAGGCTCAGAGCCTTCCTAGACACGGCCTGCTCCACAGCAAGGAGCTGAGGTCACCAACCTTCAGCTGCTACACTGTCTGGTTTCTCGTGTGCCTGCTTGGCGTTGGGCTAAGAACAGCTTTTAGGTGTTTAAACGGGCAGGGGAAGTTTCAAAGCTGACTGTCTCATGACCTACAGAAGGGACAGGAAGTTCCGGGTCTAGGGTACAGAATGAAAGGTTTCATAGGAACAGGGCCGTTCTTTTCTATGCTGCTTGGCTGCTTGTGTGGCACAATGCAAGTAACTCTCGAGTGAGTAATGGCAGTAGAAGCCACAGGACAGGCAAAGCCAAAAGCATTTGGCTTGTTAGAAACAGCCTGGGGTCCCCCAGCTTAAAGGGTCCCCCCCTCATCCCTATGTGGGGATGAGAATGTAGTGCCATGGTGACTATCTGGATCTCAGCTTGGGCCCTGTGAGAGTCCTAGGCCTCCTGACTCCAGTGTGCACCTTATAGGGGTGACCCTATTTAATGCCAATTGTTCCATCATCAATGGTGTTAGGTTATGGCTCATGAATGCCCAGACGCACAAGGTGCGTGGCGAATGAGTCCTCCGACCCTTTCCTCAACTTTCTCTGCAAACCCCCTCTGTCCTACTTTGCTCCTCTATTTCTGTGACAGAAACTCTGGCCAAAAGCTTCCTAGGGAAGGAGAGCGTTTATTTGGCGTTTATTTGGCTTACTGTTCCAGGTCAGTGTCCATCCTTGAGGGAAGTCAGGACAGGAACTGAAGCAGAAGCCACAGAAGGATGCTGCTACTGATTTGCTTTATGGCTTCCTCTCTAGGTTGTGCTCAGCTACCTTTCTTATACAGCTTGGACCGCCCCCCCCCATCTCTGGCTGTCCTAGCGGGGTGACCTTGGGCATGTCACTTCACCTCTCTGGGCCTCAATGCCCTTGTCTGTCAAAAATAAAAATGAGAGCCCCTTATGGATGGGCAGGGGAGTTTACAGAGTTTGCATGGAACATCCTTAGCAATGCCCACAGCAGGGCGAGGGTGAAGGGAGGGCAGGAACAAGGGCTCAGAGGGACAGTGTTCTGTGGCTGTTATTGTTGTTGGTGTTACTCCTGTACCCTAGTCAAGTGGCATTCCTCAGACATAGCAGGAAAGAATGCCAGCTGTAGGGTTGACCAGGCCAAGTGCTGGCATGTGTGGGACTCCAGGGTCTGGTCCTGACTCCAGCACCCCTGATGTGTACACTCACGCCTCCATATAGATGCCTCCCGACTCCCTGCCAAGCCAGTGATTGTTCCCTGGCCTTAAAGAGCCCCAGCCATGCCAGGTGGCGATGGCACATGCCTTTAATCCCAGCATTCGGGAGGCAGAGGCAGGCGGATCTCTGTGAGTTCGAGGCCAGCCTGGTCTACAGAGCAAGATCGAGGAAAGGTGCAAAGCTATACAGAGAAACCCTGTCTCAAAAAACCAAAAAAAAAAAAGAGCCCCAGCCACAGGCAGTGGGCTCCTAGCCAGGCTGGGGACCTTCATGACAAGCAATTTCTCCTGCAGCATAGGGTGGATCTCCTGACCCAGGTGGCCCAGGAGCATGAGCAGTACCAGGAGGCTGTGACCGAGTTCCAGCTGTGGCTGAAGGCAGTGGTGGAGAAAGTGCGCAGCTGTCTGGGGCGGAACTGCAAGCTGGCTATGGAGCTTCGCCTCTCTGCACTGCAGGTATACCACTGCGACCCAACCAGGACACTGTGTCCCAACTAGGGTGTCTTGAGGCCTGGCTGACGGAGGAGACCCTACATATTGCAAGTGGGGATATCAGTTTCCACATCAGACACAGACACCCACAACCCACAGCACAGACTCCTGGGGAGAGAGTCCGGGGATCCAGTACAAAACATTTGGTGTGTTGGCCATTCTTAGCTATATATCAAGGCCAACCTGAGCTACATCAGCCACACACATTTTCTCCATCCATCTGTACAGATACAGTGATATAGATAAACATGCATCTAAAATATAAATAGGTATCTGCACACACACATACTGTGAGGCTGAGTGCCCCTTGACTCTTTGTAGCCCCATGGCATATCTTGCTGATGGCTTCAAGTTGGTTTTTTTTTTTAGAAACATTAGCAAATGCCACACAGTGCTGAAGACATACATGTCCAAAAGAGACATTCTCCTGTAAGTGCTCAATGGCTTGGAGGGAATAGTTCCCATCTCACAAGTCCACGTGACCTAGAGCAGACAGTCCACCCCTGGCATGATCCCCAGATCTGCTCTGAGAACACAGCTAAACCCTGCTTTCCTGCTATCTCCCCGTCATCCTGGACAGGACATCGCCAAGGATTTCCCTAGGGGTGAGGAGTCTTTGAACAGGTTGGAGGAGCAGGCCGAGGGTGTCATCCAGAACACCTCTCCTTTGGGTGCAGAGAAGATCTCCGGGGAGCTGGAGGAGATGCGGGGGGTCCTGGAGAAGCTGAGAGTCCTCTGGAAGGAGGAAGAAGGGAGACTGCAGGGTCTGCTCCAGTCCAAGGGGGCCTGTGAGCAGCAGATCCTGAGGCTGGAGGCAGAGCTGGGAGAGTTCAAGAAAAGCCTTCAGAGGTTGGCCCATGAGGGCTTGGAGCCCACGGTGAAGACAGCCACAGAAGATGAGCTGGTGGCCCACTGGAGGCTGCTCTCGGTAAGTACAGGGGTGCGCTGGGCCTCAGGTTGCCACTTGGAGAATCGGAATCGGCTTTACGCATGCTCTCTGGTGTGCCTGATCCTTTGGCACCTGAGTTCCCTAAAAGGGCCATTGAGAAGGCAGGTGTTTATTCCCATTTCAAGAAGGAGAAACTAAGGCCTGAGATATTTCCCCCCTTGCAATCCCTAAAGGCACAAAGTAAGTTGGTGGCAGACTCGGCATTGGGATGAGGGACACGTTCTGGCCAGGAAGCGGCGAGGTTAGCAGTGGAGGGAAGCTCACGGTGGAGAGACGATGTGAGGCAAACCCAGGGCAGGTCTGGGGAGGGAAGGCGGCGTGGGCTCCTACCCACTCGGGAAGTCTTAGTCACCTTCATGTCCCTGTAACAAAATGGCTGAGGTGAACTTAGCAGGAGCAAAGGTTTGCTGTGGCGCATGCGCTGGAGGTGCCGGTTGAGGTCCAGAGACTGCATTTCTCCGGGCCTCCGCCAGGGACAGCATGTCATGGTACGAGTCTACGGCAGAGTAAACCATTCACCTCTTAAGCCAGAAAGTAGGGCCCGTGAGGAAGACAAGACAAGCAGGCCCTTACGGACCCCTTCAGTGGCACACCTCCAAAGACCTAAGGACCCCCTGGACCCCTCCTCCTAAAAGCCCCCAGTACCGCTGCCAGCACTGTTCAAACCACGGCAGGAAGTGTGCAGACAGGTTTTAGATCAAGCTGTCCAACACTCCCCAACCCCTTACTTTATTGTTAATATCATGATTTGGTCGAAGGAAACACTTGAAGTTGGTGCTGAGGCTCAGTGGTAGAACTTACCTAAGCTTGCATGGGACTCCAGGTTCCTTCCCTAGCCCCCTTCAAGTGGGAGGGCATTAAAGGAAAAATCTTTAAAAAAAAAATAATAAAAGTGGCCCTGACCGCTCTTCTGCCCCACCATGGTGCTAAGGTTTTCTCGAGCATCCTTTATGCATTTGGGAGCTTTTCCGCCCAGCCTCCCAGCAGGTCAGGTTGCACTGCATCTTTCTACAAAGGGGACCAGGCATCCTTGAGGGCCACCTGCTTCAATCTGAGTTGGAGCCTGGTGCAGAGGTTGAAAGTGGGGACTGCAGGACTAGCCTGTGAGGGTTCAGGCAGGTTCCTCTCCTTTCTCCTGGGCAGCTTTTGGGGCATGGTTTTTACTTCAGGTGTATGTGAATTGGGAATAATGGCCGTAGGGCCAGAGAAAGTGCTTGGTGCCTAAAAATGTCGATGCTTAAGAAGTTCTGGCTCTTAGCGTGGGTCCAGCTTGCTAACCAATAATCCACGTTCTGGAAATCCCTTCTTCTTCATGGTCGTCCTTTTTGTTAGTGTTGGGGATTGAACGCAGGTGGGGGCCTGCAGTTTAAGATATCCCCGAACCAATGGGAGCAGTTACAGTAGACTGAAGCATTTGTCACAGTGTCACTGTGAAGAAGATGACACCATGTGTAACCAGGCTGTTACAGGGAAGGGATCAGAGACTGAGCCTAAGGGTAAGGTCCCACAGTCCGTGCCCTTGGTGACCAGGTCCTCCAGCCTGGCCAGTCACCAGCCTCTTCTCAGCCCCTGCACACACACTGTCATTCCCCTAAGGAGCCTCACCGACGTCTGGTTGTCATGTCTTGCAGGGGGCACGGGCTGCACTAGCTTCAGAGGAGCCCCGTGCAGACCGGCTACAAACTCAACTGAAGGAACTTGTCACCTTCCCTGACCTACAGTCACTCTCCGATAGCGTGGTGGCCGCCATTCAGGAATATCAAAGGTACCCAGGGAGGCTGAGACCAGTCAGGACTACGAGTGGGCGGGACTCAGGGTGCTGGATACTTGGCACCCTGTGTGTGGAGGATGGGCTGTCTGGGGGTGGCAAGTCTCTACTCAGCTGAGACTTGCATTTGGCTCCCAGCAAGAGGCGTGAGCATTGCTTTTCGCGGCTCGGAGGCTCATTGGCCCACCTCTGCTGGGTCTTGAGTGGCTGAGCGTTGGGAGGGCTTCACCATGCCATGTCATAAGGGAGGGCTCCTGGGTAAATGTAACCACTCCTCTGCCTCTGACCATGCTGAGACTTAAGTACCAGATCATCTCTTTAGCACTGCCTCTGCTTACCTCCCTGACCATGGGTACAGTCGAGCTCAGCAAAGAGCAGAGTAATGGCCTCCCTCTGCAGAAATGAGCGCTGCACATTCAGAGCGCTCACCTATTTTTGCCAAGAAAGCATCAGCTCAGCCATCCCAATAGCACCCCATAGTACATCTTATACCCCTACCTGGTTATAGGGGATTCCTTCGGAGTGGACATAGGAGCTTCATCTGCCGTGTCTCTCACCCACAGCTGTTCCTAGGCCCCACATCTGTAAAATTGGGATAGTGCCTAGATCCTACTGCCCAATGCTAAAGCAGGGCTAGGCTGGGGCTTGGACCTGCTACACACACAGAACAGACAAAGGCACAGTGGCCATAGGTCTCCTCTCCCTCAGCTTGGTCCATCCTCTTATCAGGATCAGGGAAGCTTTATCCGGTGTTGGGCCTAGTATTAGAAAACTTACTTGTAGGAAGTAGCTGAGCCTGGGATGATATCTTAACCAGGGTTTGGGTTTGGATTGACTGGGCAGTACCAGGTTAGGGTCTCTACAATTTACCCCCAAGGCTTTTGGTCTCCTGCCTTGAAGCTGGACTAGCTCTCTGTGAAGACAGTTCCATAGCAGCCCTTTTATCCTGAGAGCCCAGCTTTCAAGGTCCCACCTTCAAGAAGGGTGTGGCTATCAGAGCACGCTTCCTTTAGTGTCCTCACTCCGGGGGCTGTCACAGGCTAGCTCATTCTGCAGCACTCTCTTCAGGCTGACAAATGCCCTTAGGTTCACAGTAGCTCTGGGTCCCAGACTCACATTTTCATCGTTTATTTCTTTTAAAAATTGGATTAAGCGCTTGTTTGGTTCTAAGTGGGAAGGGCAGCTCCTAGTGTTCTATTACTAGAAGCTGTAGGATTGTGAATGTTCCTGGGAGCAGTATGAGGAGTATCAGGATTATGAATGTTCCTGGGAGTGGTGTGGAGGGCATCAGGATTATGAATGTTCCCGGGAGTGGTGTGAAGGGCATCAGGATTATGAAGGTTCCTGGGTTTGGTGTGAAGGGCATCGGGATTGTAAAGTTTCCAACAGCAGTTTGAAGGGCATCAGGATTATGAATGTTCCTGAGTTCAGTGTGAAGGGCATCAGGATTATGAATGTTCCTGAGTTCAGTGTGAAGGGCATCAGGATTATAATGTTTCCAGCAGCAGTGTGAATAGCACTGTGTTACTTGTTCTTCAGATGAGGAAACAGGGGCTTTGACAGAGTTAAGCCACACAAGTCACAGCTGCTCTGCCTGACTCTAGTCTCAGCTTTTCAGATACTGCAGACCCAGAGGACACTTGTGTATCTCATTTCTTTGAGAGCTTACAGGCCTGAGGGAGCCGAGGGTCTGTCCTAAGGAAGACCTGAGGCATGTGGTCAGTGCTGTCTCAGCGTTTACAAGTTCCCAGCTACTTCCTATGCTACTTCGTAGCAGCCCATGTGTTAGGAGGGCATTCCCTGCCCTGGCAGCCTGGGCAGAGGCCTCACCCTGGACTGATCTCACTATCTTCTCTCTGGATCTGTGCCCTGTGCTGCCCTGGCAGTATGAAGGGAAAGAATGCCAGGCTCCACAATGCGACCAGGGCAGAGCTGTGGCAGCGTTTCCAGCGGCCCCTCAATGACCTGCAGCTGTGGAAGGCCCTGGCTCAGAGGCTCCTGGACATCACCACCAGCCTGCCGGACCTGCCCTCCATTCACACCTTTCTGCCCCAGATTGAGGTAATCAGGCTTTGTGGGGCCGGGGAGGCTGCTGGCCCAGTGTGTGGCACCTCAGCTACCCTCCCAGGGACAAGTGCATTCCTGGGTCCTTGAGACACCTGGGTCCAGCTCACTGCTCTGTGTCAGCCAAGTACCAAGTGTACAAGAAGGGTCACCACTTGTTCTCAGGGACAAAAGTCATCCTTAGTCCTCGGGTAAAGCCAAAGCCTGGTGTGACTTTCATGGATCTTCTCGAAGCTACGTGGAATTTTGTCTTCCTTGGGGACCCCACCACAGGTAGAGGATTAATGATTCTACAAGAGAGCAGTGTAGCAAGCCATTGCCTTCACTGTGTCTTCAGTGACAGCCTGACCAGTGGGAACTTCAAACACAGAGATGATCAGGTCGATCTCATGGCTCGACAGAGTCATCTGGAACCCAGGCTCTCCTAGCTCCAAGGCATGTCTCTTTCTGGCCTCCACTTAGCTGCCAAGTAGCAATCAGTGTTTGTTATTGGTGGGAACAGCACAGGGGCCTAAGGCCTCCCCCTCCATCACTGCTTTCACTCTGCCAACAAGGAGCTAAAGCCTTCCTGGGAAGCTTTCCTCTCATTGGTTGGGCAGGTCATGTGACCGTCCTTTAAACCAGTGCCTGGCTGAAGATGGTGAAATTGTCATGACTGGCTGTAGCTGCAACACTAACACTTCTAGGCCTTCAGCTGGGCACAAAACAAATGTTGGCTGTTTGGAGAAAGAGCAACCGTTACAGGGAGAGCATGTGGCAGCATCCGCCCCAGAGTCCCTCAACACTGGGGCTTTGATTGGCTCATAAACCCTGCTTTATGCTACTATTGAGCTCTCAGTCCATGAGATGCTCTTGTGTCCAGGGATTCTCAGACACACAGAGCAGAGGGAGGCATGAAAATGTGCCGGGCGTCAGCCTCATTTTATATTAGTTTTTGTTCTGATTACAAAAACATGTGTACATTACCCCCAAAACATAAAGATTTCTGGAAAATTAAAGAGTACCCACCATCCCACAAAGCATAGGACCATCATCAACATATGGGAACAGTTTTCCCCTCACTGCTCTGACCTACTGGGTGTTGCTGGGAGAATCTTTACTCCGGGTTGACCCACTTCCCCTGGAGAACACTGCTCAGCCTGCAGCTTGGAGCCTGCTCATGTGTGAACTGAGATTGATGCTGGGAATCACTTGGTTGCTCTTTCTCCTTATTCACTGAACCAGGAACTCACTGGTGTGGCTAGTCTTGCTAGCTAGCTTGCTTTAGGGATCCCCCACCACCTCTGCCTTCATAAGCTGAAACTAAAGTTGGGCCACCATGCCCATCCAGCATTTATTTGGGTTTCTTGGGATTCAAACTCAGATCCTCAGGCTTGTTCAGCAAGTACCCCAATTGTTGAGCTGTCTCCCCAACTTCAATCCCTCCCTAATTATTTATTTATGTTATTGAGTTTTTTTAGTTTTGGAGACAGGGTCTCACTTTGTAAGCCTGGCTAGCCTGGAACTTACTATGTAGACCAGGCTGGTCATGAACTCACAGAGATCCACTTGCCTCTGCCCTCTGAATGCTAAGATTGCAGATGTGTACCATCAAGCCCAGCTCCATAGTTATTGACAGCAGGACATGATCCTTCCTCCCAAGGGTTCAGTAGATCCCTTCTCCCATGCTTAGGGGCTGAAGGATGCTGCTTTTTTTTTTTTAAGTTGAAAAATAAATTTAGTTATGTGTATGCCCATGTATGGGTATGTGCATGTGAGCACAGGTGCCCGAGGAGGCCAGGGCAACAGATCCCCCCTGAAGCTGGAGTTGTAGGTGGGTGCTGGGAATTGAACTTAGGTCCTCTGTCACAATAGTGTGCTCTCTTAACCACTATGCTATCTCTGTGGCTCTGGTGGTCATCTTTCTAAATTTTTTTATTTTATTATTTTTTGTGTGTAGGGATGTTTTGCCTATGTGTGTGTATGCACCACTGTGTACCTGGTGCCCACAGAAGCCAGACGAGGGCATCAGATCTCCTGGAAGGAGAATTACAGACACTCATCAGATATTCTGGAGGTGTTGGGAGTTGAACCCAGGTCCTCTGGGAAGGTAGCCAGTACTCTCAGCGGCTGAGCTGTGTGTCCAGCCTCTGATGGTCGCCTTTTTTAGACAATCCTCATGACCATCTATGAAATGATCTCAAATGAAATTTGTGTGCACTATAAACCTCAATTTTAGGTCAGACCATCCTAAACCTGTCCTTTTATTTGATGAAATCCATCCAGACCTTTCCATGTGATAGACAGAAAATCTAATTAATTTACAGTTTTTGTGTATTTAGGATCATGTCATACAGCTGTGGACTATGATGTGATGGCTCATGTTTGTAATCCCGGCACTGTGGAGACAGAGGCAGGAGAATTGCTGTGAGTTCAAGACCAGCCTAGGCTATGTAGTAATCTGCAGGCCAGCCTGAGCTACAGAGTAAAACCTTGTGTTAAAAAATAAAAAATTCATGTAGAGTGAGTAGAAAAATTTCTTAATAAAGAAAAATGAAAAAAAAAGAACTGAACTTGGATAACTATATGGCATTTAAATAACAAAGAATGTGATACCAAACCCCATAGTAAAATAAAATTACTGGTCTTGACTAGTTTCTTCTATAAAAAAAAAAAATAAAAAATAAAAATTCTATTGTCTCATAGTTCTCAAGGTCAGAAGTCCAAAGCAAGGTGTTTCCAGGGAGTCAGAAGATCTGTTGGTGATGGAGGGTCACTGTGGAAAAGTGGTTCTCAACCTGTGGGTTGCGACCCCCATCAGATATCCTGCATATCAGATATTTACATTATGATCCCTAGCAGCAGCAAAATTACAGTTATGAAGTAGCAACGAAAATAATTTTATGGTGGGGGTGTCACCACAACATGAGGAACTGTATTAATGGGTTGCAGCATTACGAAGGTTGAGAACCACTGGTGTAGAGGCATGGAAGATCAAGCCAGTGAGGTGTGAAAGGTCAGCTCTGGGGCACCAGCTTAGAAGCAACAGGCAGGCCGAGCTGCGGTCCAGGTGAGAGAGGCTGAGCCTGTGCCATAGCTGGTGGTGGTGATGATGGAGGGGGCACAGGTTTCCCAGACAGAAAAGGGGATGAAGTGTTCCTTGGCCTTTGATAATGAGATGGGTGAGGGTGGGTAAAAAAAACCCAACATGGATCCTGAAATTCAGAACCTTCCAATGTATTCCTACCTGTCTGCTTCTACTGTGCCGGTTCCCCAGATGCCCACAGAGTCACAGCTCCCGCGCAGCAACAGTAGGAATTGTGAGCTTGGGCTTTCCTGGCTGTCTGAGGTGCATGGGTACCTTGTCTCCCACAGGCAGCCCTGGCAGAGAGCTCCCGGCTGAAAGAGCAGCTGGCGATGCTGCAGCTGAAGACAGACTTGCTGGGGAGCATCTTGGGCCAGGAGAGAGCAGCCGCTCTCCTGGAGCAGGTGGCAAGTTCTGTGAGGGACAGAGACTTACTGCATAACAGCCTTCTGCAGAGGAAGAGCAAACTACAGGTGAGCATCAGCCGCTGCACCCTGGAGCTTGGCCAGGGGGCGGGCACAGCCCTTCTTGATATTTTGATTTCAGCTCCACCCCTGCCCAGTGGCTCTGGATGTATGCCTCTGTTTCCCACAATCTCAGGTTCTGTGTCTATGGATGGGGCAGGACTCTCATGTGACCCTTCTCACTGGCTCCCTAGTCACCTGTCTGCTGCTGGTCACTCCTAACCCTGTTCCCTAGGTTTCAATCAAGCCATGCTGTCTTCTGTAGAGCTGATGGACAAGCAAAGATGGGGTGAGGGAGATGGTTCAACCAGTGAAGGTGTTTGCTGCTCATTCTCTACCCACTTTCAACCCCCAGGACCCAGATGATAGGAGGAGAAAACCAACTCCTACAGTTGTCATCTGACCTCCACGTGTGCGCGTGCGCATGTACACACACACACACACACACACACACACACACACACACACACACGTGTGCACACACTTAAATGTAATAGAAAATGAAGATACAAGCATTTGCTAACTTTAACCAACCATGATCCTAAGAGTGAATGTAGGCAGAGTTTTTCATCGGGACCACTGGCCAGTTCCCAAATAACCACACAGACTTAATATTAATTATAAATGATCAGCTGATAGCTTAGGCTTGTTACTAACTAGCTCTTAGAACTTAAATTAACCCATATTTCTTATCTACTCTCTGCTACGTGGTAATACCTTTTTTCACCACGGCATGTTCATCTTGCTTCTCTCTGTGTCTCCTGGCAACTCCTTCCTTTTCTCCCCAGGCTCTCTTTTTGTCCACAAGTCCTGCCTAACCTTTTCCTGGCTAGCTATTGGCTAGTCAGCTCTTTATTAACCAATGAGAGTAATACATATTCACAGTGTACAAAAAGACTGTTCCACAGCGAGTGAATGTTATTAATGGCATGCTTCTGACTGCAATAAGTCAAAGCAATGGCTTGGCACTCTGCAGACAGCCAGTTCTAGCTGCCAAATGTTTGCTGAGCAGCCAATAATGATGATAATAATAGCTACGGTCTACAGGTGTTGGCTCTGGGCCAGGCACCTGTTAATCTTTGTCCAGCTGACACTATGGGGGAGGTGCTGCCAGCCTCCCTGTTTTACAGGTGAGGAGAGTCTGTCAGGTATCTCATGGTGGAGGGGTCAGGGTTCAGGCTGCATCACTTGACTCCAAGCCAGCAATCACACTTCATCAGCATGATAAGGCAGGGTTGCCAGAGCTGGGGGAACCAGAAAGGAAGTGAAGTCTCCACTCAAACCATGGCGGCAGCTGGTGGAGACAAGCACACACGGACAGTTACAGGAGGTGTCTGCAGAGCGGTCTCAGCAAAGCTCTAGATCGTGCTTCTCAACCTTCCTAATGCCTCAACCCTTTAATACAGTTCCTCATGATGTGGTGACCCCCAAGCATAAAATTATTTTTCTTGTGACTTCTTAAACTGTAATTTTGCTACTGTTTTGAATCATAATGTAAATATCCATGCTGTCCAATCATCTTAGGTGACCCCTGTGAAAGGTTCATTTGACCCCAAAAGGGTCTTGACCCAAAGGTTGAGAATCTCTTGTCTACAGGCTGCTGCTTCTGCAGGGGCCCAGTCAGTGAAGATGCCAGTGTCTGTCAGGCATTTGACCCAACTCTGCCTCTATAGCAGAGAATCAGAAGGAAATGAGTAGGCGGGGCCGTATTCTAACAAAACCTTATCTACAAACAAACTTCTGGAGAGATTTGGTGTGTGTGGGAGGGCTGTTCTTGAGGACTATGGCTAAAGTGTGGTGAGAGAACACTGGAGTGACCCATCAGGAAGTGTTTCCTGGAGGAGGTGGATCAGTATAGAGAGAGAGCAGCCCGGCCCAGTGTCAGGTCTTAAAAGGCGCCGTGAGGAAAATGCTTCATTTGTAGTTCTATTTGCAGAGCCTGCTCGCCCAGCACAAGGACTTCGGGGTGGCTTTTGACCCCCTACACAGGAAACTCCTAGACCTCCAAGCCAGGATCCAAGCAGAGAAAGGACTTCAGCGGGACCTTCCTGGAAAGCAGGTTCAGCTCCTAAGGTTGCAGGTGAGGAGTGACTGTCACCTGGCACACGGTTGCCTGCACGGGAGCTCCTCCTCTGGCAGCAAGGTGCAAACAGTCGCCAGCCTGAGCCCAAGGTTCTTACTGGGGATCTGACTTGTGTCTCAGTAGAACCTCCGATTTTTCAGCTGACAGTTCCTGGCCCCAGCGGGGCTGTTAGCACCCCTGAGCAGCTGAGTCGAGTCTAACTGAGCGACAAGCAGTTCTTTTGTTTGCCCCTGGGTTCCGAAGTCTGAACAACGGCACTCAGTTCAGTTCTATTTGGTTTGGTACTCCAGCTGATGGGGTGGTGCCGTCCACATTCAATGTGGGTTTTCCCTCTTCGGTTAATCTTATTTGGAAACACCCCCATAGACACACCTAGAGGTGTCTCCTAGATGATACAAATCCAGTCAAGTTGACAATGGAGATTAACTGTCGTGTGAACTATTTTTGGTGAGTCCGGAGACTTTCAGTTGAATAAACCAATTTTGCGATTAGGAAGATATGTTTTATATCATGTGTGGACTGCATGCAGGCAGGTCATTGGTAATCGCCAGCCAGCTGAGGAGCTTTACTGGTTTTTATCATGCACATGACAGAGTGTTTATTGTTTCAAACCCAAACACCATTCCTGTATAAGCTGACAGCATTCTCTGGAAAACATTAAGCGTGGTACATTTGAGGCTTTAACACTGAAGTGGGTATAATTCTTCATAACAGCCAATGGTCACCAAGTGAGAGTCTAGACGTGAGTTTCTTTCCCAAGATGCTGTCTGGTCTTTCCTATAGTTTATTTTAATAATGCCCCAGGATATTTGTGTCTGAATTTTAAAGATTGATTTGCCCTGAAAAGGAATCTATTGGACCACCCATGTGGTGCAGCCACTGACAGAGAGAACATGCTATCCTGGGAACCCCAACCAGGGACTCTCCCACTCAGAGTCCCTACCCCACTGGGCCTCGAGGATGGAGGGTCTTCTGGATGGAGGGTCTCCTGGGATGGAAGTGTTTTCTGGATGAAGGTTTTTCTTGGATGGAGGGTCTTCTGGGATGGGGGGTTTTCTGGATGGAGGATCTTCTAAATGGAGGGTCTTCTGGGATGGAGGGTCTTCTGGGATGGAGGGCCTTCTGGGATGGGTAGTCTTCTGGGATGGGGGTCTTCTGGGATGGAGGGTCTCCTGGGATGGAGGGCCTTCTGGGATGGGTAGTCTTCTGGGATGGGGGGTCTTCTGGGATGGAGGGTCTCCTGAATGGAGGGTCTTCTGGATGGAGGATCTTCTGGATGGAGGGTCTTCTGGGATGGAGGGTCTCCTGGGATGGAGGTTCTTCTGGATGGAGGGTCTCGTGGGATGGAGGGTCTTCTGGATTGAGGGTCTTCTGGATAGAGGGTTTTCTGGGATGGAAGGACTTCTGGATGGAGAGGCAGGTGGCCAAGTTCCCTTGTTCTTCTCTCTATCACAGGGCCTGCAGGAAGAGGGTCTCGATCTGGGGACACAGATAGAGGCTGTGAGGCCTCTTGCCCAGGAGAACTCTAACCACCAGCACAAAGTGGACCAGATTTCCTCTGACCAGCAAGTCCTGAAGAGGTCCCTAGAGGTAAGGGACCAGTGAAGGGCCTAAGCAGTGAGGACCAGGTCTTAGAATCCTACACTCCTGGGTCCTTTCTCCTTCCAGCTTCTGTTCCTTCCAACCTCTCTTTCTTCTCATCCTCATTTGTGTAGCTTCTGGTTGTTGAGCTATTACTGTATGCGGGCTGCTGTCCTGGGCTCCCGTGGCGGAGGCAGCTCACACTGACAGACAGGGCCCTGCTTTCCTGGGGACTGGGTGGACGGGACAGTGAATCAGCAAGTGAGTGAGTGATGCCAGGGTTTCCCATTGTGATGAGGGCCACAGATGCAGAACAGAAAACGCTGCCTTGTCTCCTCTGCCTGCGTGGGTGCAGTTGTTTGTGTCCCCAGCCCTGGTGGCCTCAGAGCCTTGTTTGCAGCGCCCTCTAGTGGCCTTCTGAGCACTTTCTGGTGCACAGGATGATTCTACTTCCTGCAGTCTGATGGATGCTCAGAACCCAGACTTCTTGACAATTGACCAAGACAAGTATCGATGCAGGCTCCAGGCTCCCTACACACCCTGATTTAGACAGGCTTGGGTCGTCCTGCTTTTTAATTAAGCCTCAGGGAGTTTAAGCGGATCCCTGGCCACACCTCAAGAAAACTTAGTGCTAGGCTAACTTCTTCAGCCCACCTGGCCCTGTACACCCCATTTCCATAGCAAACACCTTCTTTACCACCCTGAAGCTAACAGGTGGGTACACCACTCTCACAGACAATCTAGAAATGTCTAGAATAGAAAGAAATTCTTTTTTTTTTCAAGACAGGGTTTCTCTGTGTAGCTTTGCACCTTTCCTGGAACTCACTTGGTAGCCCAGGCTGGCCTCGAATTCACTGAGATCCACCTGGCTCTGCCTCCCGAGTGCTGGGATTAAAGGCATGCGCCACCACCGCCCAGCATAAAGAAATTCTTAAAGAGACATAATCAAGTCATATATAAGTGGCTACAGATAGTTCTGGTCATAGGAGAGGTCAGGAAATATTCCCTTTATACCACAACCACTGATGTCACATCAGGCAGCATGGCCAGTGGTACCTCTAAAGAGTGAGAGAAAATCTCAACTAAACCAAAGCAAAGCCCTTCGTGTATAGGAAGGGTGTGCTCCCAGACAAGTCAGTGGCCTTGTTAGAACTTCAGAGACCTCCTTACACCTGTGTGTGGAGTTAGACCCTGTCTCAGTGAGGGTTTCTATTGCTGTGAAGAGACACCATGACCACAGCAACTCTGATAAAGGAAACATTTAATTGGGGCTTGATTACAGTTCAAAGATTTAGTCCATGACATCATGGTGGGACATGGCAGTGTGTAGGCAGACATGGTGCTGGAGAAGGAGCTGAGAATTCTACATCTTAATCTTCAGGCCACAGGAAATGAACTGGGTCTACACCGAGCGTAGCTGGAGCATCTGAGACCTTAAAGCCCACCCCCACAGTGACACACTTCGTCCAACAAGGCCATACCTATTCCAACAAAACCACACCTCCTAATAATGCCACTCCCTATGAGCTCATGGGGGCCAGTTACATTCAGACTACCATAGAGCCCAACCCCAGGCCATGGCAAACAGGCTTTTAATCACTGTAAGTATGGGTGGGCATGAGACAGTTTAGTGGGATGTGGGGCAGTTCTGTCTCCCTCCTTTCATGGAGTGGGAGCACCTTACATTGTCTGCTACTTTTGGCCCTCACTCCACTCTCAGCCCCAAATGCTTCCCCAGGAGTCTCCAGGAAACAGATGATGCCTTACACCGAGGACCTAAGGAGCCCTGTTGGCCCAAGCAACTCCTTGGGTCTGGATGAATTCACCAATCTGCTCAGTAAACTTGGATCTGTAGTCTCAGGGATAAATGAAGGGGATAGAGAGATAGGGCACTGTTCCCAGCTTCTAGAAGCCCCTAGAACTCCAAATGTCAGCTCCAAGAATTATATTCAAATGATGAGCTAGGCCAATCATTAGAGGACACATTTACTGGGTGTCATTAGTGGTAGCAAGAGGGTGACACCCCATCATGCTCCTGTAAAGGGAAACTGTCCCCTTATTCAGACATTCAATGCTTGTTAAGTCTAGTGAGTGTAAACTCCCCCTTCCCTCACAGCCAAGTGGCCTTCATGTCCTGTCATCCCTGACAGAATGTCTGACAAAGACAACAGTAGAAAGGTCTGCTTTGCCTCACAGTGCCAAGGTGTAGCCTCTCACGGTTCAGGGAACCACAGCAGCAGGAGCTCGGAGCAGTCGGTCTCGCTGTGTCTTCAGTCAGGAAGTAGAGAGAGACGGACTCTGGCACCCTGTGCAGACCAAGCTGGCCTTGAACTCACAGAGATCCAATTGCTTCCAGTTTTCTCCATTTTCACGTAGTCCTGGGCCTTGGCCCGTGGAGTGGGGCAGCTCACACTTATGGAACTTCTCACCTCAGTTAACTGAACCCAGACAATCGTTTAGAGCCTTATTTCCGTGGTGATTCTAGATCGGGTCAAGCAAGATTAACTATCACATCCACAGGGAGCATGCTCCTGTGTCAGAGGCCACAGGTCCCTATGGCAGGAAGCTGTTGGAGGTGGTTAGTATTGGTACCCAGGTCCTGGCACTGAGGATACAGAGGAGCAGGGCTTAGAAAACATTTGAGGCCATCTTTGATGGGTTGTTGAAAGTAGGTGCAGTATGTGGGATGCTGAACCCCCCTCCAATTGGGCTTCTAGCCCCTTAGTAGGGGCCTGGCATCCCTATCTCCGCAGTGATTTGTTGTTGTTGTTGTTGTTGTTGTTGTTGTTGTTGTTGTTTTGTTTAAAGATACAGGGAGATAGGGTCTTTGGAAGCCCAGCACAGAGGCATGAGACCTTCAGGGTAGTGCAGTGAGAACAGTGGCAGAGGGCCGGAGTCTGAATGACTCATGGTGGGCTGGAAAGGGGACTCAGAGAGTCCCAGGCAAGGGGGCCAGAAGAATGGAGAACGGCCATCCTTCTGAGGACAGTGCCCAGCTTTCCTGGAGACAGAGAAGAGAAAGGCTCATGAGTCAGACTTCTGAGAAACTAACAGGCCTAGGAAACAGGATCCAGGGATAGAGGGGCCCCCAACACACACACCCAAAAAAAAGCAAGGTAGCTTTGAAAACCTTTATACAGTCAATCATATACAGAAAAGAAAGCACGTTGGCATGGCTCCATGAATCTTAAAGAACAAACAGACCCATGTAAGGGCCCCCAGACAAAACCTAGGGTGACAGCAGCCTGCCCCATGCCCCACCCCCATGTACTGTCCATCGGTTACCCTCAGCCCTGACCTCAGAGCTGTTTGCTCCGCCCCTCCACACAACGCTTGCAGATTCCTCCACAATGCTGCAGGAGGTCACAGGCTGCCCATTCTTTTTAAAGACTATTTTTATTTTTCCTTTGACAATTTCATACATGTATACAATAAATCTTCATCATATCCACCCCACTCCCCCCTTCCACTCCTTCTGGACCATCCCCACCATGTCCCCACCCCACCTTCATCCCGTCTTCTTTTTTTTTAATTGTAACCCACTGAGTAGTTAGTGCTGCCCACACGGCGATAAGTGTGGAGCATCCCCTGAAAATGGGCAGCCTACAAGAGGCCACACCCCAAAGAAGAAATGACTCCTCATCCCCCAATAGCCTTCAGCTGCCAACCACTCCTCAGGTAGGGGTGGGGCTTCATGAACTCCTCTCTTATCCAAGCTGTGGTATTAACCGACTTGGTTTTGTACCGGTAACGGCAGCTGCTGGGAGTTCATGTGTTTACCAGCCATATCATGTCATAGCATCCTTCCCATCCTCTGGCTCTTACATCCTTTCTCCCCCATCTCCTGTGATGGCCCCTAATAGTTGTGGTGGGGGGGGCATGTAGGCAGGTCTAGGTATCATCTGTGGGGTATCATCTACAGTCTGCCTCAAGCAGCATTCAGAGCTCCTGGCTGTACTGCAGGACCTTGTGGACAGGTGTCAGCAGAGCGTCCGAGAGCACTGCACCTTCAGCCACCGGCTGTCAGAGCTGCAGCAGTGGGTTACCATGGTCACACAGACGCTGGAGACACACCAAGGGGATGTGCATCTTTGGGATGCTGAGTCCCAAGAGACTGGACCTGAGGTAAGGTGCTGGTTCATTTTCTCGCCTGCATTCCCCTAAAGCATTCTGGGTGACCTTCATACTGGGGTACAGAGAGTCCTCCAAACTAGTACCTCGCATGTATATATGTTTATCCATGTGTCCCACAGAAGCTGCTGGCTGAAATTCCAGAGAGAGAGGTCCAGCTGTCCCTGCTCCAAGCACTGGGCCAGCTTGTGATGAAGAAGTCTTCTCCAGAGGGGGCGGCCTTGGTCCAGGAGGATCTGAGGAAGCTGGTGGAGTCTTGGCAGGCCCTACGGCTGCTAGAGGAGAATCTGCTGAGGTAAGGGTCTTCCTTGCTCTCCACTTTGTCCCAGACAATGCCTCCTCATCACCTAGGGTCCCTAGAGCATCTGACTGAGGCTGAGATGTATGGCAGCCACGGTGCCAGGAATCTGGGGATATCCCCATCTTTGGTCCAGTTAGTGATTCTGGTAGGGTTCTGAGGATTGGAGAACGTCTCTCACTAGGGAGTTAGCCTCCAGCCTGTCTTGCCTGAGCTTACTTCTCTAGCTGCATCTACATGTGCCTTGCTGGTATGGTAAGGTGGGTTTAAAGGAAGAAATGGCATGAATGTGCCTGGGAAGCCTTCTGATGGTCCCCAAAGGTGGCTGTTAAGTTCTTCCTCCTCCTCCTCCTCCTCCTCCTCCTCCTCTTCCTTCTTCTCCTTCCTCTTCTTCCTCCTCCTCTTCTTCTTCTCTTCTTCCTCTTCTTCTCCTCCTCTTCCTCCTCCCCCTCCCTCTCCCCCCTCCCCTTCCTCTTAAGATTTATTTACTATGTATAGAGTGTTCTGCCTGCATGTATGCCTGCAGACCAGAAGAAGGCACCAGATCTCATTACAGATGGTTGTGAGCCACCATGTGGTTGCTGGGAATTGAACTCAGGACCTCTGAAAGAGCAGTCAGTGCTCTTAACTGCCGAGCCATCTCTCCAGCTCTGGCTGCTAAGTTCTTAACCATGGTGAATCTCCAAAGTTTCCTTGGTGCTCTGATACTATTGCTTCTTCTCCTGGGACCTGATGGATGCTCAGCACATGACTGCCTTGAGTAAGTGTATTTTTCTTCTCAGTCTCATCAGAAACGAGCAGCTGCAGAGGACAGAAGTGGACACGGGGAAGAAACTACTCTTCACCAACAACATCCCGAAGGCTGGCTTTCTCATCAACCCCCAGGACCCTATTCCCAGGCATCGGCATGGGGTGAGTCTGTCTCACAGGCTTTGGGAGAAAGGTCAGATCCCATGTCAACTGAGGAGGTGGGGGCCTCCATCACAGCTCCCTCCCTGCCCTGGACCATGTGTTCAGCTCATAGGATGTATCTACTTTCTTGTTACTTGCCCCTGATGTGACCTCAGAAGTAATCAATTGCTAAAGGACTGAGGGTCTTGGAGGTCTAAGATCTCAGAGGTCCCAGATCACATTAGAAGATCAGGAACACCCCTGGACAAGACTGGCCCCCATTTATCTGAGCCCCTGCAGCAGCCTGTGTTAGGAGAGGACTGGGCTTTAAAACTTACTGCTGACCCCAGATAGCAAACAGGTCGGAGATGCAGGTCCTGACCCAGTAGCCTGATTCTGCATGGCTAACAAGCACCAGACACATGATCTGTGCTGCTGGGCTCTGAAACACAGCGTGAGAGATGACAAAGGAGTGGGGGTCCAGGCATTTAAGCAGGGTTTTAAAAGGTATGGCATATGCTGGCAGCTAGGCTGGATGCTACACCCAGTTCTGGGGTGAGGAAGCCCTTCTAGGGATGATGAAATATCAGTTGAACCCTCAAGACTGAGTGTGAGAAGGAGGGAGAAGCATTGTCTTAATTACTTTTCTATTGCCATGACAAAACACCATGATCACAGTAACTTAAAAAAGAAAACATTTATTTGGGTCTTACAGTTAGAGTTCATGACCGTCGATGCTGGCGCAATAGTGAGAGCTCACATCTTGATCTACAAGATGAGGCAGAAAGAGCTAACGGGATGGCCTGGCCTTTTGAAACCTCAAAGCCCACCTCCAGTGATACACTTTCTCCAACAAGGCCATACTACTAATTACTCCCAAATAGCTCTACCAACTGGGAACCAAGCATTCAAATATGTGTGCTTATAGGGACCATTATCATTCAAACCACCACAGGCATGTTCTCAGTATAGGGGATTGTATATACAGAGACCCAGAGGGAGCGGAAGTTTGAGGTACCGGGATACCGGGATGCAGCTACAGACTGCACCAGGGAGGGGGAGGGGAGGGGGAAGGGAGAAAGAGAGGAAGGGGGGAAGAGGAGGAGGAGGAGGAGGAGGAGGAGGAGGAGGAGGAGAGAAGCTCAACCTTCAAGGAGCCTATAGAACTGGAACCCAGGGCTCTCCAGCCACATCAGGGAAGAGTAGGGCACCACCAAGGGATAGGGAAGGACTTAGCTGGACTGGCTTTCATTTCACCCTGCCCACATCTCCACAAGAATGGAGGAAAGATGACCACTGGGTAGGTGTCCTGGTCAAGGATGATGACCACTGGGTAGGTGTCCTGGTCAAGGATGATGACCACTGGGTAGGTGTCCTGGTCAAGGATGATGACCACTGGGTAGGTGTCCTGGTCAAGGATGATGATGACCTCTGGAGCTCCAGAAAGGTGATGGTGAGGGACACTCTTGGCTCCTAAATGTGGATGAATGGAGGCCTATTCATCATCCCTCTGAGCCTCTCCTATGCCCTTCAGGTCCCCTGTCCTCATCTTCAGCTTTGGTGGGATCCCCGGGTCCATGGCCAGTAGACCTTTCTCACATCTAAACACATGCTTGCCTGCAGGCAAACGTACTGGAAGAGCATGACCTCCATGAAGATCACTCCCAGCTCCTGAGGGACTTTGAACAGTGGCTGCAGGCGGAAAACTCCAAGTTAGTTGGAATCATTGCAATGAGAACAGCCACAGCCAAGGACTTGAGGACCAGAAAGATGAAACTGCAGGTTTGTTCCAGGGAATGATCCCTAATGGGGCCCATGCCACCAGAAGTTCCTCAAACGAAGGAGTTCATGCTTAATAGTCATTTGTAAGCCCTCCTGAGTCTATATAATAGTTTTAAATTGTTTTGGTTCAAAGATTTTAGAACTAACTTTTCTTTGCATCTGTCCATTCATTCATCCATATATCCATCTGTGCATCTATGCATGCATCCATCTATCCATCAATGATCCATTTATGCATGCATGCATGCATGCATCCATCCATCCATCCATCAATGATCCATTTATGCATGTATCATCTATCCATCCATGCTTCCATCCATGCATCTATCTATCCATCCATGCATGCATGCATGCATCCATCCATCCATCAGTCATCCATTTATGCATGTATCTATCCATCCCACTTTATATTTCTCTATTTGAAAAATATCACCACTGATCACTTGACTCCAGTATCGGTTAGCTGCCATCGTGCCATAGACCACCACAACAGCGAGTTGCTTAAAACAATAACTATTGTTTAAGTCATGACTTTGACACTTGGTGATTTGAGCTCAGCCCGGTTTCTGCCAATTCTGGGCTCAAGACACATATTCTGGACAATCTTATCTTTCATCAGATATGGAACAACTAGATAGATCTGGTGGGGGGCTGGAAGTTGGTGGAGACAAACACGACACGGACCACGAATGTCTCATTCTCATGTGGGACAGCCCAGACTACTCAATGCCTAGAATAGGAACTTGCATGCTAGTGTCACATGGATTCTTCTGTGTTCTGCTGCACAAAGAAAGTCAATAGGCTATCTCAGATTCAAGGGATAAGAAAGAGACTCCACCCCTTGATGTAAAGTCCAAAGGTGTTGCAGGCAGGAGAGAGGGAATCACATGTTTGTATTTGGTCTACCACTACTTTCTCCTCCATGCCATCTTATTAGTCTTGGTCTGTTTCTATTGCTAAATACTCCAGACTGAATAAGTCATAACCAACAAGAATTTCACCACTCCAAAAGGCTAGAAACTCCAAGTATCAGAACCTAGCAAGGTTTCCTTCTTGTATCATCATATGGCCAAAAGATGGAGGAGGCACAAAGAGACAAATGGATCTAAAAAAGGCCTTTTTGTGACAGTATTAGTCCCATCCTTGAGGGTCATTAATCCCACCCTTGGGCCAGGTCATCTCTCAAAGGTCCCATGTCCCAATACTGTCCACATGGATCTGGGAAGGGACAATCATTCAACCGATAGCAGTCATCAAACCCTTCTCAAGTCCATTTCCTGGATGTTACTGTTCCCTCTGCATTTTCTGTTTATGTGACCATGGCAGCAGCTTCCTCCCTGCTCTCCTTTCTGGTGGAGCGTCACCCAGGTCATGGCTCCTTCTGCAGTGATCCAACAGAATCAATAATCAGACCTCGACCCCCTGATGAAAGCATTTTATTACAGAGTTCAAACCTACGTTATTGTCCAAGACCTCCCTAATCAAGCCCACTCTTCCTCTCCTCTCTTTTATTTATATGACATCTCAGTGATAGTTTAGGGTCCAATTTTCTTCTTATTTATCCTGCTTGGCAATCATTGTGACTGCATTTGTGATGTGGGGCCTTTACAGAAGGCCTGACAAGATCTCTTAAAATATCACCTTTGCCTTGATGTCTTTTTCTCACATCATTGAAATCCACATTTTTCCTTCCCACCTGTATATTTTTGTCTGTTTCTTTTGCATATTTTTTGCCCTTGACTCAGAGTGTTGAATTCTGAATACTTTTTTTCTGACTCAACTTCCACTTGACTAATTCTCTTCCTGGCTGTGTCTCATTTGCTATTACATATGTCTATTAAGATCTTAACTTTGGTTGTCATGGCAATCAGTTTTAGAACTTCTGTTTGGTTCCCTTCGGTCTGGTTGGTTACATTCTCTGTCTTCCATCACATCCTTGATGAAATGTTTAAGCTTGTCTTTTAATTCTTTTTTTTTTTTTTAAGATTTATTTATTATGTATACAGTGCTCTGCCTGCATATATGGCTGCAGGCCAGAAGAGGGCACCAGATCTCATTACAGATGGTTGTGAGGCACCATGTGGTTGCTGGGTATTGAACTCAGGACCTTTGGAAGAGCAGTCAGTACTCTTAACTGCTGAGCCATCTCTCCAGCCCATCTTTTAATTCTTTGAACTGTAACCCACCATAATTGCACTGCCTAATAATTCTGATACCTCCAGGCATTTAGAAATATTTCTGTCACATATTTCTGCTTCTCATTCTTGGTGTCACGTATTATTGTGTGGTTACCTTTTGTCCTGAACAAAATATACTAAAACTAATTTGGGAGTTAGGATAATTTCTTCCTCCAGAGAGATTTTTTTCTATTTCTGAGAAGTGGGGGCTTTATGATTCTGGGACCACTGAGTCCAAGTTCAAGTCTTGTAGTTCCTTGGACCACTAAGATGATCTGGAGCTAGGCTGTGAATAAGCACGCTCAAGGCCCAGATTCACTTATGGCTCCCTTTACTCCAAGAATAAGCATGCAGGCATCTCATCTACAAAGGGAATGACAGGTCCCTTCCTCTGCAGAGCCCAGGCTTTGACTCTCACCACCTTAACCTTGGGAGGCTGCAGAAACATAGATTGGTTCAAAGCTGGTATCATTCCCTCTAGGTTGGCAAAAATCCTAAGAGCAAAAGGAGGTCTGAAGAGGCCTTGCTTCTCTGGGTTCTTGTCCATCCCCATAGCGTCTGTGGCGGCTTGGTTTTCTTTGCAGTGCTAGGGATAGAACCCAGGGTCTCAGACATGTTAGCCATGTGCTCTGCCATGGGGATGCACTTCCACCTCCTTGAGTTTTGTCCTGACTAGCCCCGCTATTTGTTAGTCCATTGATACCTTTGAACGTTGTTCTATATTCTCAGTGCATGGCTCATCCTGCTGATGGAGCTGAGTATCACCAGCAAGTCTTCCCACCCACCAACCCCCAACTCAGATCTGTTTCCCACCCTCCACTCCAGTCATATCAACAATGACTTCTTACCCATGCACCATGGTAGGTCCTGAGCAGCTTAGCCAGGGTCCAAACCTGGGGCTGAAGCCTAGACTCCAACCTGTAGACCTTTCATCCACTCCACATCACACCACCTCTCAGGACTCCTGGGAAGAGGAAGTGTCATCCTATGGGAGAGCTGTGGTCTACTTAGAAAAAGTCTACCCAACTTAACATCAACTCTGCCTGCCTCAGAAATGCCAACAGAGTGGCACGCTCCATGATGACCACTTTGTGATGGTGACCACTCATGGTCCTGGAATGTCAATGTTAAAAGTAAACACTGTGGGGGTGTTCTCTAAGATTCTGGATGCATAGATGAAGGCTGAAAAGATGACTCAGAAGTTAAGAGAACTTACTGCTCTCATAAGACAACCTGGGTTCAGTTCCCAGCATCCACATGGTGGCTCACAACCATCTATAACCCCAGTTCCAAGGGATCTAACACCCTCTTCAGATCTCTGCAGGCCCCAGGCATACTTATGATGCACATATATACACGCAGGCAAAACACTCATATACATAAAATAAATACTTCTAAGACCAATTTTTGAAAGAATATTTTATGTGTATGAGTGTTTTACTTGCATGTATGTCTGTGCATCACATGGGTGCCTGGTACCCTTGGAGGGCCCAAGAGAGCATCAGATCCCTCGAGACTAAAGTTAAAAATAGTTATGAGGCAACATTTGGGTACTAAGACCCAGTTCCCCTGCAAGAGCAGCTATTCCTCTTAACCATCAAGCCGTCTCTCCAGCCCTAAAAACATTTCTTTAAAAACTTGCTTGGATGAGAGTCTTGTGTTACTGGTCCTGTGCACATCTCCCAGCATGCCTCAGGTGGCCCTTGACTGGTGTATTCTTACCAGCCAGGTGGGGTTCTTGGGCCACTGGACAGCTGAGACATAATGCTGCCTTTCTCTCAGGAGCTGGAGGCCCGAATTCCAGAAGGCCAGCATCTCTTTGAGAACCTGCTCCGACTCAGGCCAGCAAGGGACCCCTCCAATGAACTGGAAGATCTGCGCTATCGTTGGATGCTGTACAAGTCCAAACTCAAGGACTCTGGCCACCTGCTGGTAGGTGCTGGGGGTAAAGGTTGGGGGTCCCAGGAGGCAACCATGGCTTGGAGAGACAGAGCTGAATCTAGTTCATTCTGGTGCATCCATATACCAGGCCAATGGGACTGCTCAAAGGAAAAGAGGGACACTCTTGGGTCTTAGGCACGTGAGTTATGTCATATCATTTGTCCATCTTACCTCCCAGTGAGGCTGGAGTCCTGTGAGTAGTGTATACAGATCTCTTACTTCCACCATGTCAGAGTTTTATGTGCATTTCCCATTTGGGCCTATAGCCACCTTCTGCTGGAGTATCTGCACCCCATTCTCCAGAGGGGATAGCTAAGTCCCACCCCTGACCCCAATGCTAGAAGCTCGGGTCATAGTTCTTCACTGGCAGAGGCAACATTCTGTTACATCTCTGTGGTGTGGCGCTGCCACAGGGGTGCATGAGTGGAGGCCAGCGGTCCTGAGACTCAGCGCTTCCTTCCTCTGGCCTTGACCTCGCACTTTTATCTCCTGGGTTTCCTATCTCCTACACAAACCATGGATAATGATAGCCTTTATTAAATGCTGTGGTCTCCTAACACGCCCATTCAGGAGAGAGGCCTCCTTCCCTCTAGACTGTTGACAGCAACGTGAGACAAAGAAGTTAAGTTTCCTAGGCCCAGGAAGGAATAGGGGAGAAGGCCTCCTAGAGCCCCCCTTTCAGGCCTCAGAGCCCAGAAGCCATAGCTTGGGGGCACACCAGGCTTTTCCGGCCCCACAACTGGCAGTTTGGCCACTAGGTGTCAGCCCAGTCCAAGCCAGCTAGGCCACGTCCCCAGCCCTGGCCAAGGCCATCCAGACAGTGTGCCACCTGGACCTGAAGTGTGTTAAAAAGCTCATTAAACGAAATCCCCTGCTGGCGCAGGCTGTCCAGATGACCAGAAATGTTAACGAAATACTCCCCTGACAAAATGAATATTCTGTTACGGGTTCTGCTGGGGTTTAAGTTTTACGCGCCTAGCTGATTTTTGCCCCATTTCTTCCCCTTCCCTAAAATAACAGACGCAGAGTTCTCCAGGGGAGCTGACTGCATTCCAAAAGGTACGTGTCTGCCATCTGCTCGACATAGCTAGCTGGCAGAGAATGTTCAAGGCTAGAAGGCCTGTGATTCTGGGCCAGGGTGTCTAGATTTTCTAGAATGTTCCATGAGATCTGAAGAGAACCAACTTTGGGTTGTAATGGGCTGGGCCCTGGGGTATGTGTTCTCAGGCTCAAGGAGGGATTGACAAGTGTGTACAGATTAGCCTTGATCTACACACAGTGTAGGAGGACCCCTAGATTTGTCATCGAGACCCAGAACACACTGGAGAGTGACTGGATACTGCTTTGATTACTGTGCCGGCAGGTGTAAATCAGGACTGACCCAGGAGCCTAGACTCTTCTGGGCAAACTGGATCATGTGGCCTCTTCGGCCCCAGGGGACACATTAGAAAGGGTGGTGGAGTCCTTTGCTCTACAAGGCACATGTTTCCACTGGTGCCCACTGAGACTCTGGCTTTTCCCATGCTAGCCACAGCTGAAGTGAGAACAGTACCAGTCACGGCACTCTAGGTGGCGCCCCCCACTGCTTGGGCTCTGTGTGCCAGGACTGGTTCTTAGGGGGTCTCAGCTCCATTGCCAGTGCTGTGACCAAATACCCAACAGATTAAAAACTTGAGAAGGGGTTTGCTTTGGCTCAGGGTTTCAGAGCGTGCAGCCACAGTCTTTAGGACTCTGTGCTTGGGTAGTATGTCATTGCATTGGGAGCCTGTGGCAGAGGATGACGGTCCACTTCCTGACCACCCAGGGAGAGAGGGAGAGGAAAAGTGAGAGATCGGGGGATGGGGAGATGAGGAAGGGAGGGGAGGAAGAGGGATAAATTGGGGACTGCGACCTGGTATAACCTTCAGCCAGCTAGGCCCCAACTCCCATAGGCTCCACAACCTCCCCTTGTTAGGAACCACCAGCAGTTAAAACCACGAGCCTGTGGGGATATTTCCAGTTCAGGCCAGGACACTTGTGGCTAGAGCATCTCATTGTACCCTGACACTGACAAAGAGGAGCAGTCTTAGCTCAGCTCTAAGCCTGAGGGGAAAATGGCGTGAAGAGCTAATGTGTCCACCAGGCATGTGACTGCTTATGGCATCGGCCCTCAGATCTCAACACCCATGCTTTAACCCTTCGTAGGGTGCCTTGGAAGAAATCCCTGGGGCCTTTCTCCCCATTCCTGTCCCTTGCTGTCCCTAGTGATGCCCTTGATTTCTTGCCAAACATTGGCTGTAGTCACATGAACCCCCAGCACACTCTGGTTAAAGAACCCGGCGTCACTTCAGATCTCATTCTCCAGAGTCTAAATCCCAGGTGCGGGCACCCTGGATCCATTCCCGGCCTCTGGCAACTTCAGGAGACTGAGTGACTTGTGGATCAAGAAGGGCTTATTATGGACCAAGGCTGCGCCCGGGGCCCTTCACCAACCAGCTTTATGGCCTTGGAAAAATCACCCTGCCTGGGGGTTCCCTTGCCCATGTGTGAAATGAAAACATCAACATTGGCTTCATTTACTCCGAGAATTAATTTTGAAGACTGTGGGAACCAGAACATACCGAGGCAGACATGTCTCACCCAGGATTTCCCTCTAGTTCAGAATGATGTGAACCTCAGAGACTAGGAAGGGGTGTCTGGAAAGGGCAGGTGACCCGGACTGCCTGGCCTGGTGGCCCCTGGTGGAAGACAGAAGTCCCAAGACCAGTGTCAATCTGCCTGTCGTTGCTGTACTTTAAGCCCCTCCATGGCTGGGAGTCCCCGTCCATGCAGCCTAAGCTAGAGTTGATCAGAGGCGTCCAACCTTTTGACACTGAGACATACCATGCAAAGAGTTTTTTTCTTAAAAAAAAAAAAAACAAAAAACCCAAACCCTCACAATGTTTTAAGTAAGTTTATAGTTTTGTGTTGGACCACATCCCTAGCTGTCCTGGGGTGCATGTGACACGTGGGCCATAGACTGTACACCTCTGTCAGGCAGATTCTAAGTGGTAGCTACGTCCAGATCCCTGGTACAGTCGTGGTCCCCACTGACTGTCTCTCCCTTTAGTCATTCATTTATTTTGTCGTCCCTGAGTCAGTGATGACTTCGTGCCACACGCTGTTTAATATGCTCCAAACCCATCATCCAACAAAAGAGTGGCAGTGTGCCATCCTAGAGCATGTGCACCTGGCTGGGTGCAGAGCGGCAGGAACATCTGTTTGGAGCTGAGGCCTGGCTGTCTCTGTGTCAGAGGGCTCTGAAGGGCAGCAGCCGTGAGAGCTCATAACCCAGATAGTCACCAAATAGCCCTGTTTAGCTACAGCTAGGAGATGTCAGCCATCATACTGTTGGGTACACAAACTAGAAGGTTCTATGTGCTTATCCATGCTATGTTTCAAACAAGTAGGCATATAAAAGGCTGACTTCAATTCTGGCTTCCTTTTAAGCCAATGAACCTCAGCTCCTATGAAGAAGGAAGCCATTCATGGTGGGCGGCTTGATATTCAGAGACAATTAGGAGAGACAATTAGGATGCCCTATGAACACAGATGGATGTGCCCAGCCCTAACATCCTAATCCACTGGTCTAGAAAGTTCATAAATTTGTGTTTCTGGCACATTCCCAGATGCTGTTCACACTTCTAGTTCAGGGACCACACTTTGAGAACTGGTGTTTTATGCTCTGAGTTCAAATCCAGGCTCAGTCACTGGTGTGTGTGACATTTGTCAAATTACTTGACCATGATCTTCCAGTGAAGGAAAGGAGTCCACTGAACTAAAGGCAAGGAAAGTTTCCTTCCTACCGACTGGCACATAGTAGGCTCTCATTGCCATGTGTGTGTGTGTGTGTGTGTGTGTGTGTGTGTGTGTGTGTGTGTGTACCTCAGATGCCTATAGACACTGTTCCTGCTTCTTCTTCCAAGAGCAGAAAAAGGAGTGATGCACAAGTCTTGTGTTAGTCAGTTCTCGGTTACTATTACAAAATGCTTGAGGAAATCAGCTTATAAAGAGGGAAGGGTTATCTGGCTCACAGATTTTATAGAGTTTCCCCATCCATGGTCACTTGTCACTGTTGCTTTGGGCCTTTAGTGAAGTAATATGCCATGGTGGGAACATGAGGTGGAATAAAACTACCCACCTCATGGCCGGGTAGCAAAGGAAGAGGAAGAGGAGAAGACCACAGTCTGTTCCACAGTCCTCTTCAAAGGCACACCCCCTAATGGCCTAAGGACCTTCCAGTAGGTCCTTTTGTTTTTATCATTATATTTATTTTATGTGTATGAGTGTTTGCCTGCATGTGTGTCTGTGCACTACGTGTGTGCAGTGCCTTTAGAGGCCAGAAGAGGGCTGTAGCATGAATCTTAAAGGGTCTTATTAATGAAATCAAACCTGGAGCCCAGGTATTGGGGTGAACACTGGAAGATCAGAGAAGCAGAACAAGCCACAGCTTCCTCACCTTGCCAATTCCTCAGATGATCCTGTTTCCTCAGACTGGATGCCTCTCAGCTGAACTGTGCTGCTCAAAAGCCTAAAAGCGTAACCAGCTCTAGTTCCTGGTCCTCACGCCTTAAATACCTTTCTGCCTCCTGCCATTACTTCCTGGGATTAAAGGCATGAGTCACCATGGTTGGCTGTTTCCAGTGTGGCCTTGAACTCCCAGAGATCCAGGCAGATCTCTGCCTCTGGAATGCTGGGATTAAAGGCGTGTGCTACCACTGCCTAACCTCTATGTTTAATATTGTGGCTGTTCTGTTCTCTGACCCCAGATAAGTTTATTAGAGTGCACAATATTTTGGGGAACACAATACCACCACAGAGGGCATCAGATCCCTTGGAACTGGAGTTACAGTTGTAAGCAGCCGTGTGGGTGCTAGGAATTGAACCTAGGTCCTCTGCAAGAGCAGACACTGTTCTTAACAGCTGAGCCATTTGCAGTCCCACTTCTTAAGGATTCCATTCCTCCAAATACTGTAGCCGGGGGATCAGTTCTGTAACTCACGAGTCTCTATGGGACACTCAAGACCCAAGTTCACAGTTGTTTTTTTACCCAAATTATGTTGTTTTTTACCTGGTTAGGTATGTGCAAATATGATAGGGCTACACACACATGTGCACACATACATGCACATGTGCCTAAACTCACATGGGCACACACATACGCACATATGCATATGCATACTTGTGCACACACACATGCACATACATACACATGACACGCACACATACGCAGAGGCCAGCCAGGCAGAACAGGAGTACCTTCTGCAAATGCTGTAATCTCACCAACTTAAAAACATTCTGTATATTATGTTCAGCCCACAGGGAAGAAAGACACCCGCTGTCGAGCTGATGATTTATGTGTGGCTGGTTCTCCACACTTCCTCTACTCCCTCTAGGCCTCAAGTCATCCAAGGCTCCAGCTACGTCAGCAGCTTCAGCCTGTTTGTTTGCATAAACAGAATAATTAGGATTTATTAAATTTGTACTGCCAGCATGGTAGGCAACTCGGTGCCAGTGGACGCTTGCCTGCAACGCTCAGACACACGAATCGTAGCTGCTTCTTGAATGGCAGCTGGGCCGTGAGTCACCTCAAGGCCTGCTGTGGCCTGGGATGTATGGCTGCCCTCCCTGAAAACAGTCTTTTCACTGGGGCCCTGAGCTGACTGGCCCTGCTGTTCTCCAGTTTGCAAGGGCCAGGCTCTCTTGGTACACTGGGCACCGCACAGTGAGACTCTCAGCACACAGGCCCACGTGTGGTGCCACCTGGGAGTGGCGTGGGTTTACCTGATTGTATTCCCAAAGGTTTTTTTTTTCTTTTCTATAATTAACATTTTCCCCTTTTATTTTACATACCAACCATAGCTTCCCCCTCCCTCCTCTCCTCCCATTCCCTTCCCTTCCCAAGGTTTTAAGATTCATAATTTTTGTTTTACGTTTCCACTTCTCTGGAATTTAGATTTCTGTTCCAATCTAGTCCTCCCAGGGAGCACTCATGATTACTTCCACCCTCTACCAGGAAACCTTCACCTGGGATTCTTGGAGGTCAAAGTCTCTGCTGATGATTACATTTTGTTCTGGTTTTCTTTAGGCTACACTGGGGATACCCACTTAGCCCGTCTATTTGGGAGAGGCCCTGCCTATGGCTCAAGATCCCAAGAAATGGCTTTTTCCCCCCTCCCTTCAACCAAATGTGGAATGTTCTGGCCCCTCTTCCTATGAGGTCATTCTCCTTGTTCTCTGCATCCCCACTGAAGGCACAGCCCCTCTGTGTGCATGCAGATTTATGTGCACAGCCCCTCCGTGTGCACGCAGCTTTATGTGCACAGCCCCTTTGTGTGTGCATGCAGCTTTATGTGCACAGACCCTTTGTGTGTGCACACAGATTTATGTGCACAGCCCCTCTGTGTGCACGCAGCTTTATGTGCACAGCCCCTCTGTGTGCACGCGGCTTTATGTGCACAGCCCCTCTGTGTGCACGCGGCTTTATGTGCACAGCCCCTCTGTGTGCACGCAGATTTATGTGCACAGCCCCTCCGTGTGCACGCGGCTTTATGTGCACAGCCCCTCCGTGTGCACGCGGCTTTATGTGCACAGCCCCTCCGAGTGCACGCGGATTTATGTGCACAGCCCCCCTCCGTGTGCACGCAGATTTATGTGCACAGCCCCCCTCCGTGTGTACGCAGATTTATGTGCACAGCCCCTCCGTGTGCACGCAGATTTATGTGCACAGCCCCTCCGTGTGCATGCAGCTTTATGTGGGCTCTCCTTCTTCACTTCCTCTCTCTCCCTCCCTCCCTTCCCACAGAGTCTCCCACAGCCCAGGATAGCCTCAAATTCACTGTCTGTGAGGACGAACCTGGATTTCTACTACTGCCTCTACCTCCCGAGTGCCAGTGTTACTATCATACCGTGTTTACCCACTGCTGGGGACCAAACCCAGGGCTTCATGCACGCTAGACAAGCATTCTACCTACTGAGCCACAGCGGCCCAGCTCCTTTATGGAGGCTTTTCGGTCAAGTTTATTCTAGGGTTGGTGGTGGCTGTTTGCTTTCTTGGTGGTAAGATAATGGTTGCCTTTCAACAGATGCCTGGGCTGGGTGGGATCCTGTAATACCAACCCTCAGAAGGCATTGGTTGGCTTCCAGTGGTAGAGGATAGCTGTCACAGCTGAGGTTTAAAAAAAAAAAAGTATGATGGGTGCTGTGATGGACACTCTCATGCTTGATCTTCAATGCTCTTGACAGCTCTCTTCCTCTTCTGCCCAGGGACAGCAAGGCCAGTTGGGGCTGGGCAGAGTGATGTCACTGAACTCTCTCTGGGTCACCTGCTTACAGCTCAGCCAACGGCTCAAATCGGCCGCATCCCTCGTCCTAGCTGAATAAATAGCTGGGCTTTGCTCAGCCACACTGTCTCGGACCCAGACTGGCCTCAGACCGCATTGGGTACCATCTTCCTTCCACCCACAGAACCCCAAAGCAGCTGGGCATTGCTGAATTATGACAGAGTTGTCACCAAGACCTTCAACACTGAGTCTTTGAACCTGATATCCACATGGGTTGCTTTCCAGGCCTCCTGTCTCCAAGCCTCCCACTCCCATACCTCCCCTACATCTTAGAGACTCACCCTAGCCATGGAGCCTGTAACTCCCTGGTCAGTCAGGCTAGGGGGTGTATTGGGGGTCGTCTTCCTTGCCTCTAGCTGTGATTGCATCCCCTGCAGAGGTTGTCCTGATATCTACCCTGGTTCCTCTCTTTCTGTTATTTTCTCAATTACCCAAATGTGATGATGATACTCCTTGTTGACAAAATATAATGCTTTAACCTACAGCATCTCCTTCAGAGCCTTCTCTGACTCCTACATCTACCCTGGTTCCTCTTTCTGCTGTTTCCCCAGTTACCCGAATGTAATGATGATACTTGATGCTGACACCCACACACCTGCCCCTGAATGTGGTGCTAGCCTTCCTTGAGTGAGGACAAAGTCGCCCTTCCCTTGGCCATTGCATCCATTGTCTTCCACCGTGGAAGTCAACCAGTTGCAAAGAGTTCAGTGTACCTTGTCTCCTCTCCTACTCCATCAACCTGGGAGTTTGAAAAAAGGTGATTCTGTGGCCTGCCTAGCTCACACAGAGATCAAGTGAGCCTGGCCTGCATACAGATGAGACACACACAGGCTCCTCTGAGCTCTCAGTAGTGAGATCAGGGCTGCAAACCCATGCTTTGGGTACTCAGAGAATAGGGAAGAAAACATGTGGTCAAGGTAGGCAGGCCAGCTGGGAAATGTGTTCATCATTAGGATGTACCCAGTTCCCTGCCTGGGCTCCCAAGGACAGACAAGGACAACAGTTACCAGTGTGCCCCAGGGCAGGCAGAGGGTTAAAGATGGTGCTGAGGGAGCTACAGTGAGAGGCATTGGGTTGGGCTCTGCCAGGCTTCTCTTCACCTTGAGCTGTTGGGGCTGGTCTGGCTTTATGGTAGTGAATGAGGCCCCACCAGGCCTTAGGAAAGGATCCCAAGCCTCAGTTGCATTGATACTCATTGTTCTATACTCAACATGCTGGGTCAAGATGGGACCCATGTGGACAGCTGAGGCCCAGAGTGCTGCCTTGTGATTATCTTTAGTCATGGTTTCTTATGAGAGACACCATGTAGGGTGATGGAGAGAGCCTGGGCTTTGCAGTGTTGGTGGAAGTTGAGCCTGTGTGTGATCTCAGGCTACTGACTCTCCTTTAGCTTTAGTTTCGTCCTCTGTGAAATAGGCAGAGGACAACCAGCCTCCCAGAGCAGTTAGAAACATTCAGGAAGCTCATGGTCTAGGGGAAGAGTTGAGGAGGAGGCCTTGGGTACAGCGTGTGTACACATGTGTACACACGTGACAGATGGAGCCCAGATGTTTGGGGTGTAATATTGGGATAGTGAAAATCTTCACAGATGGTGGGCGTGAGTCTCTGTGGTCACCTCCTGGGAACTGAGGGATAGGCAGATGGCCAGAGCAAAGAGGATGAAGGAAGGGAGTTTTGCCTCCTGTGGAGTCCTTTCTTGGATAGCTTTGAGTAGGACACAGGTAATAATACTTTGTAGAGAAACTGAGGCACAGAAAGGCTCTTGGAACTGAGATGAGCTAGGATTGTCAATTCCCTTGTTAGCTTCTTAAAAAGCCTTTGTTAGAAGTGTGTGTGTGTGTGTGTGTGTGTGTGTGTGTGTGTGTGTGTGTGTGTGTGGTCGTTTTCTAGTCGTTTGGTCCAGGATCACAGCTCATGAGATGGTGCGGCCCACAGTTAGGGCAGGTCTTCCCACCTCTACCCAATCTAGAACTCCCTTGTAGACATGCTCAGAGGTTTGTTTCCATAGCGATTCTCGATTGACAACCAAGACCGACCATCGTGCCCCTCCTCACAGTGGAGAGTCCGCGCCTGTGGTCACACAGTTTACCCAGCGTGCCCTCCTGCCCCACTGCCCCCTGAACCTCGTAGTCGCTCACGGTCTGTCTTGTGTTGGTTCGCAGAGTCGACAGCAGAGGCGGTGGCGGAATCCCTGCTCTCTCCTGCAGAAAGCATGCCGCGTGGCGCTGCCGTTGCAGCTGCTGCTCCTGCTCTTTCTTCTGCTGCTCTTCCTGCTGCCGGCTGGTGAGGAGGAGCGCAGCTGCGCCCTGGCCAACAACTTCGCCCGTTCCTTCGCTCTCATGCTTCGTTACAACGGCCCCCCGCCCACCTAGCCCACTGGGGCCTACAGGTGACTTTCTGCAGACCCGCTGAGGCTGGCTGCTGGGGGAAGCTGGACAGACCAGACACCCAGAAGAGCCTCTGTCTAAATGCTGCATCTGTTCCCAGAACTTGCTTTTTCTACGATGTCATTTCTGTCTATTTATACTAAATGTGTACTATGTGTGGTTAGGGAATAATGTACAGATTTTTTTATACGCAGTGTATGTATATGCTCAATGTAGATAACTTCAGATACGATGTCTCTTTGTGCCTACAGAAGTCCCCAGCAGTGTGTTTCCCTAATGGGATGTGTGACACTCGTGCCTTAGCGTTCTGTCATCCCTGGAAGACAGGAGAAATCACATGTTACTTTTATGACAACCTGTACCCAGGAATCCAGATACAGAAGTCTCCGAGCTCTGAGCTTAGCTGAACAGAATTGGAGCCTTGGAGCTCTTGTGCATGTGGCTAGTTTTAAAGCCACAAGGACTTGGGCTGTAGGCTGGATAAAAAGAAGCGGTGATGGCCAAGAGCAGTGAGACCAGACAGGTGACAGAGGGATCCCCAGAGAGGAGCAGAAGAACTTAGAGAACTGACAAAGTTCCACAGAGTGATGGCACTTAGCCTGCCCCACCACACAGACCAGCGAGAAATGCCTGTGACCATGAGCGTGACCCTGTGTCTTCAGGAAGTGGCTGGGATTTTGTTTGTGTGTTTTCCCCAGGAGAAAGAAAAAAGGAAGATGAACTTGGCTTTTTATTCTTATGCACAAGGGTGAAGCACATTGCCAGTGGCCCGTGACAGTCCCAGGAGGCCTGTGTTACCATTGTGGTTGGGCATTCTCCGGGCTAGGGCGTGAACTGAGGGCAGAGTGGAAAAGACTCGGCCCATCTGAAGGGGTCTCTCTTCCCTTTCAAGAAGGAACTGTGCAGGCTGGTGGGTCTACAGGAATGGACAGGTCTTATCTTCTTCCCCTTCCAGGGCTCACAATCTAGCTCCAGGCAGGAACAAATAGGTGGGCTCCAGGTATGTGTGGGAGGCCTCTGGGGTGACTCCAGGCTATGCCCAAGGCTGGAAGTATGACCAGGGAATTCTGGGATGATCCCTAAGTGGGTTAAAACTGGATCAAGTTTACCCTAAACTGACACTTTTTTTTCTTTTGGAAAATACTTAATGCCCCCTTTTTTACAGATGGAATTTGTCTGGTAGGTGGGGGTGCCCTCAGGCATTAGCATCAGATACACACCCACAGTGTTAAAGACCCAGAGAGGCACTTTAAACATAACGAATATTGAGGCCCTAAGAGGGACCCGACTCCAAGGTCACCACCCTATGCACACAGACCAAGTCCCTCCCAAGCTGGCATCAGGCTACACCATGTACGGTCTTCATCTTAGCACAGAACCTAGGAAAGGCAAGCAGGACGGCAGTGCCTTGGGCTTGTTACTTGGTCTATGACCTCAGCCATAAGGCCTCCCCTGCACACTGCCATTTTGCCGGGAAATCAGGGGCTGGTGCACCTGACCTCAGACCCAGGTAGCTGAGTCCTGATGCTCACTAAGATCATTAGTCCACCACTTGGTCAGAACTGTGGCAAAGGACATCAGCACTTCCTTTTCCGCTTTCCCATCTCACAGGTAAGAAACTTGAGGCCCAGAGAAGGAAAGTCCCTTACCCACAGCCACACAGCAAGAACCTATAAAGCCAGAAATGGGCTGGTCACCACCGTCCTCAGGTGATATCATGTTCATTATATAGTATAGCCTCCCCACACCTCCCTTCCCAGGGCGAGGACGTGGCTCAGAGATAGCACACTTGCCCAACAGGTGTGAGTCCTGGGTTCCATCCCCAGAACTTAAGAGAGAAAAAGAAAAAGCAGAAAAGAGAGCTGTTTACTATGAATGTAGTTGTGTCTTGTGGTAAATGGCTGGGGAGGGTGTAACTGCAATATGCCGGTGGTGGGGTGGTGGGAACATATCTCTGTTTTTAACTATGACAATGACACTGTGGATTGCTTGTTTGCATAACTTTTTGAACAGAGGGGGACTGATATTTTTATTTCTTTCATATGAATATAGCTGGAATATGACATACTAGCCATTTCTGGGTGCTTTTCCGATGTAACTTCTTTTGCTTAAAGTGCGTATAGACACCTGCTACTGTGATGTCGCCTCCTAGCCAATTACCATGGAGAGTTGGAAGGTGTCCCTGGAGAGAAGTGTTGGAGCTTAAAAAGCTTAAAAAGTCTTTGTTAGGAGTGTGTGTGTGTGTGTACATGTGTGTGTGTGTACGTGTGTGTGTGTACATGAGTGTGTGTATGTGTGTGTGTGTGTGTGTGTGTACGTGTGTGTTATTTGTCCTGCAGACAGTGCTCACATGTAACCTACCTAGGTTAGCCTAGGAATATGTGTGTGTGTATGTGTGTGTGTGTGTGTGTGTGTGTGTGTGTGTGTGTAAGGATCCAAGCAGGTACTATCAGTGCTGTTGGTCCCCTACCCTGTGTCGCTTTCTGCTCCTTTCGTCCCCATCTGTCCTCTGAGTGCAGAATGCAGGAGCAGAGAATCTGTTTATAATGTAGTTGGTCTAAGTGGAGTTAGGGCTCAGGACAACGGGTGAGCTAGGAAGTCCTGGAGGTGCTGGCGGGAAGGGCCGAGGCGCTGCTCACTAGGCTGTGGTGGTTTGGAAGAAAATGGCTCCTAAAGGAGTGGCACTATTAGGAGGTGTGGCCTTGTTGGGGGAAGTGTGTCACTGTGGGGAAGGGCTTTGAGGTCTCTTTTGCTCAAGCTTCTCAATGTGTGATAGTCAGTTGACTTCCTGCTGCCTTCTGGTGGAGATGCAGCCAGTACCACGTTTGCCCACACGCCACCATGCTCCCTGCCATGATGATAATGGATTGACCTCTGAAACTGTAAGCCATCACCCCAATTACATGTTTTCTGTGTAAGAGTTGCTGTGGTCATGGTGTCTCTTCACAGCAATAGAATCCCTAACTAAGACACAGACGATGCCTTTCTGTGGGGAACCAACACCGAAGGGCTGGCATTTCCATACTGCCCACCCCGATCAAGCCTGATAGTTCTTCATCCCTACGCGTGAGGTGAGACACAGGGGCTTTTAAAGATATAAAGCCACTTGCCCACATCCAGGTGAGACTGGAATCCAGGGTTATTGGACCCTGGAGCCCATACTGGGGAGAAAGGACTTGGGGCTGGTACCACTAAGCTGCAGTCTCTGTGGCCTCTGGGAATGGTGTCACTGAGTGGCCACTCTCTGCTCTCAGCTCCATTGGGGTGGGGTTAACGAGACTCTGTGGCTTCCTGTGACTCTCTGAGGAATCCCCTCAGCAGGCACATCCCTGCAGGTCATTGGCCATCAGCCTCGTGTTGCTCCAAGAGGCAGGACTTGCCACACACCCTGAGGGCCTCCTCTGCCCCTGTGAAGTCCCCCATCATTGGCCTCAGTTCCCTGTGGGACCAGAGTCCTAAGATACTTTAGAGGAAGGAAACTGGGGTTCCTCTGCAGCTGGGACAAGGGGAATGACAAGCCCCTCGTGAGCTACTGCTGGGAGGCCGGGTGCCAAGGGTGTGGGCCACCCTGCGAGGATGCCCAGGCTGCCTGACAGCGAGAGAGACTGAGAGGGCCTTTCTTTTTCCATGCAATGTGAAGTCAGGACAGGTCAGATCAACAAACTCTGTGAAGGGTTTGAGAATCTGAGCCGAGCTGATCTGGCTGGGGTAATCAGATGGGAAACAGAGACAGAGGCCAGTCAGGGACCACAGAGGCGGAGGGCCGCTAATGCACGCTAAGTAGCCATGAGGCCAGACTTTATGTTGCACGTGTTTACCACTGTTTAAGAAGGGACACAGCAAGAAAGGGAGACAGGAAGTGGGGAGTAGGAGGGAGAGAAAGAAGGAGAGAGAAAGAGAAAGGAATGGAGAAAGGAGAGAGGGGAAGATGAATAGACAGATGGACGGATGGACGGACGGACAGATAAAGTGTCTTGTCCCCTCTTCATTCTAACCCATATATTAAGCCCTTAGAGTCCCTTCTTGGGGCCATACATATTGGAACACTAGGGTAAATGAAGTCTAGGCCCTGCCCTCTGGATCTAGACCAAGAAGCATCTGTTCTGTTTAAGATGCTGAATCCAGACCAGGGCCTTGGCCCTTGACTTTGCTCCTCTGCCTCCCACAGGTGCTGCTCAACCTACCAGGAGCTAGAGGGCCATGGAGGAGACACAGGGGGACCTGGGGATAAGTGGGAGGGTGTCTCATGGCTTCTGCAAATTAAATGTAGCTGTGACTATGAGGACAGAGGAGATGTACTAGGGAGGCCAGATGAGGGACAGGAGAAAGGGCCTGGGCATAGCAGAAGGGAAAGGAAGCTCACTGGCTGCGCCTCTAGAGGTCCCAAGGTAGATCCTTGAGGTCTGAGCACCAAGGCTTGGCAGGAGACCCAAGGCTGTCTTTGGCTATGGACATCTAAGGTTTTAGACACAACCCAGGAGGGGTCATACCCCACTTCCCTCTCTCAGGGAGGTCAGCCTACAGCAGAGGTTCCTCTGTTCCCTCACCCTAGTCTTGTATACTTTCCAGGTCAGCATAGAAAAGAGAAGTGAGCCATTCCCTCCCTTAATGTACCTGTGGCAGACATGAGTAGTTGATCATTGAGCCTTTCTCTCTCTCCAGCCTGAATGGACTTCCTGGTCCTCAAACCACTTAAGTATTACTGCTAATCTGTCCTGTGGGAAAAGCACCTGCTTGTCATCCTCATCCTTAATCCTAACCCCCTCAGAAGACAAAATTCTTGCCTGCTTCTTCCCCCAACCCCCACATTAACTTTAGAACATCCCAGTAAAAATCAGTTTTTCTTAGCAAGGAAGAATGCATCAGGCTGCTGCCTAGGTGTATCGGCCACTATTGGAACCAAAATCCCAGGTTCATTCTGCGCCCCACATCTGGGTCTCACGCTCTGTTGGCAGAACTTGGAGGCATGGCCCTTAGAAGTTCCAGGAATGGCCTCTGTGTTGCCTGCCAGCCCCTGCTAGTTGTCAGGAGTCCCTGAGCCCTTCAATCTACTCTTGGAACACCCGTCCTGCAGAGCCTGGGCTGAACTTGCCACCCTGCTCTGTGGTCAGATCTCCAGGAAGATCACAGTGTTTCAGTCATTCTTGGCTCCACTGAGCTCCTGAGAGCAAATCCCGGAAAGGGAAAAAGGGCTGCAGCTTTTCCAGACTAGTGCTAACCTTCTAGCCGGTCACTGAGGCCCACCATCACCAACAGAGCCCAGGTGCCTCTCCAGCACAGGGTTGCCCCTGAAGGACTGAAGATCAGCCGACATTTCCCCCTCAACCCCAAGGCACAAGCGGACGGCTTTCTGTTTATTGACTTAAGAGCAAGTGGGGAGTTGTTCTAAAAAAACAACTGAGGAACAAAAACCTGGGGTCTCCCGGCACAAGCCATACAGGCAGCCCACATGGCTCAGCATCCTCCAGGCATCTGCTTGCCTTCAGTTCCCATGGTAACATCACAGGTGCCCACAGGATGGTACCCAGCCATCCCTGAACACAGGAGACAGCAGTGGCAGAGGAGTTCAGCTTCCCAAGAGATCCCAGGTTTCCTTTCGAGTCCTTTGGTCCCTGCTCAGTGCTGTTGTACTAATTCCACAGACAGGCCACCTGTGCTCCTGGTGACACTGGACAGATGAGGGACAGAGCCTGTAGCCCCTCTTTTAGTTCTATGGGAAGAAAGCGAAGAGACCCACAAGGCAGGGCCTGCAATACAGCCCAGCTCCTGAGAACCTGGGCAGTGGAGTCACGAGCTTATGTTTAGGTGCTGAACCCAGAGCGCAGACAAGGTTAGCAAACTGCCTAAAATCAGCCAGCCAGTGAGTGAGTGAGACATGTAGGATTTGAACCCAGGGGTGACGGGTCACAAGTTGGGTGTTTTTCTGCCACTGTGTGGAACTTGCCTTCGTCTTCCGTTGCTTTTCTTTCCCTTGTGGACCACAGGCCACTGTTACTCCCGCATCTGGGTAGCCTGTTGGAAGGTGCCGTTCCTGTGCAGGAGTGGCAGAGTTTCTCTCCTGTGTCTACTCTACCAGCAAACTCTTTGACCCCCATTGCCAGGGGGGAGTTGGGAGCACCAGGGTAGGGTGCCAGGGGCAGGACTGGAAACAGACTCGGGCCACCACTGTCAGGGGCAGATGCAGGACAGAGGTTGCTGTGGGAGATCACTGTGCATGGTGCCAAATTCTTCTAGAAGAGCGCAGATGCAGGGGTCAGGCAAGTTCTTGGAGCTCCTGGGATAAAGAGGATAAAGAGGTGGGCAGAGAAGGAGAGTGCATGTCTGTGTGCGTGTGTGTGCGTGTGTATATGTATTGTGTAAGTGTGCTTTGGTGTCCAGAGCAATCAAATTCATTGTTTAAAGTGTTCACTTGTGTAAACAGTACAGAGGGACCATCTCCTCTTGTCACAAGTCTCTGTGGTAATAAAACATGAATTTTTGAAAAGTTCAGCTTTCTGGGAAGGCCGGCGGAACTGGAGCCAAAATGACGATCTTGGAACACGTGTGTGTGTGTGTGTGTGTGTGTGTGTGTGTGTGTGTGTGTGTGTGTGTGTTATCTCAGTTCATATCAAGTCCAGAGCTGACTGGGGGCCGCAGCGCCTCTCAGTTCTGTGGGATGGGTCATGTAAGTCTCCGGTCCCTGCTGAGCGCTGTTGTGCTTGTCTATTTTGGTGGCAGCGGTATTCTGAAAGATGAGTTCGTGTTTTCATTGTTGTTTTATGTTTTTTTTAATGTATCTGCTCTATGTTTGGAAATAAAAAGCTCTATTTTGGTCTATGAGATACTGTGTGGTTGCCAGTCCTTCTTCTGAAGTTGGGAGTTGTCTGGGGAAGGCATGAGGTAGAGGATGCAACAGGATTCTGGCTAACTTACTTTGACATTGTTTTTAGGCAGGATTATCGCTGGCCATTGGGCTCCAGGCAGGGTATTTCAAGGCTATCTCAAAGAATTGAAAACAAGGCTCACGCAGATCTGCAGAAGTAGCAAGGTCACATTATTTGGAGCAAAGCGATAGTGCAGGTTAGAGAGACTTGCTCGAGACTGACAGGGGCCTGATTACTGTTTGGGGCCTCCTTTCTGGGGTCTGAGGGAAAGAAAGGCTGTTTACTAAGGGGTGTGGTTTGGGTGGCTCTCTAAAAAAAGATCATATATTCCTTTTTCCTATTGTATGTGTCCCGTCCTACGATGCATCTGATTTTAATCACATGCACACCTAATTATGCATATGCTTACGATGATCAATAGGGAACTCTCGCTAAAAGGTTAGTAGAAGATGTAGTTTTGCCTTACTGCATGTGGTGGTTTGAATGAGATTGGCCCTCATAGGTTCACTGAATGCTTGGTCCCTAGTTAGTGCAACTGTTTGGGAAGGATTAGAAGGTGTGGCCTTGTTGGAGTAGGTATGGCCATGTTGTAGGAAGTGTGTCACTGGGGGTGGGCTTTGAAGTTTCAAAAGCTCATGTCAATCAAGCCCCTCTCTGATTGCTGCCTGTGGATCAGGATGTTAAGCTCTCAGCTCCAGCTCCAGTGACATGCCTGCCTGCTTCCCACCATGATGATAATGGACTAACCCTTTGAAACTGTAAGCAAGCCCCCAGTTAAATACTTTCTATTATAAGAGTTGTCTTGGTTCTGGTATCTCTTCACATCAATAGAACAGTAACCAAGACTGTACATGCACCCAGAACCAGTTCAGGCCAGTTTGTCCCATCTATTCTTCACACCCAGAAACACTGAGAACACACTGGAATAGAACTGTCTAATTTGACTGCTATTAGGAGTGAGGAAACTTGTTCATAGTTGGGGATATGTGTAGCCTGGTGCAGGGATGGGGGTAAGGGAGTTCTGAGGTTGCTAGTGAACTGTTTGGAGAAGGGTATGTGCACATGGTACTTACAGGTGATGGAGCTAGGCTGCCAAGTGCATTATTTCAAGGGAGGTGTGCAAAAAAATAATGCCAAACACAGTCCCAGAATGCTAAACTGTCCTAGACTTGCCTGCCTCAGGATGAGTCCTCATTTGCGCAGAGGTGGAGCCCACGGCCACTGTAACACACAAGCCAGAATGAGCGTCATCCCTGGGAGTATCTGTCTGAATATCCTCCAGACACCCCATCACTGTCCCCAGGGATAGGTGGGTAGCCTTGGAAAATTCCCAGACACACCCTGAGGAAGGAGACAGAGTCCCCAATGTGAGTACCAGCAAGGAGAACTGGGCCTTGAGACCAATCCCACCAGCCCTGTGGGCCAGAGCCTTATAGCTCTCTCTGTTCTTGGGTTTGAAGATCAGCCTTCTCCATCACAGTGCTTTGTAAACTACAAGCAAGAAACAGGAATGATAAAATGGTGTGGCTCTTGCAGTATGAGCCACATGGGGACCTGGCACGCATGTGTGTGTGTGTGTGTGTGTGTGTGTGTGTGTGTGTGTGTGTGTGTGTGTGTGTACCTGTATGTGTGTGGGATGCTCCTTGGCAAATGCTCTAAATCGTTCTGAGATGCGGTCCAGTTCACGTGGCCCGTGTGTTTCCTAGACAAGGAATGCCACCCTGCTTGTAATGAGGTCTGAGAAGCCAGCCAGTGACCCAGGACTCGCCGCAGGTTAACAGACACTCCTGAAGACTCCCTGTTGCTAGTCGGACAAGGAGACCACACCTGGGACAAGGAATTTACACCTGAAGGAAAGTGGCCCGCCCAGGCCATGGGGTTTAAAGTGTTAAATAACACAGATACCCTCTGAGGGATTCTGGTGGGTCTTATGGCTGGACTAAGGAGGCAGCTCCCTTCTAGCTGTCATCACAACAACAGTGATAAGGAAGTGTGTTCTAAGAACTTTGCCCCTCGGGGTCCTCCACTCTTGGTTTGTATGTGGGGCTGTTATGGTGTTCTGTTGGGTAACTTTCCCTGTAGAGGCATCCATGGGTCAAGAACCTCTGTGTGAAAACAGTTTCGGTGAGAAATCTGGACCCAGTCTCTCTCCTTCCCATTTAGCACCTTTTGGGCACTCCACTCGCTGTAAAAGTAGCATTAAACACACACATGCTTTCTAAATTTGCCTGGAGTGCTCGTGTGCCTGGCTGGGTGATTCATTCATTTTTATGACTGTGACTTTTTTTTTCTAAGTCAGGTGTGAAACAATTCCCTCTGATTTCATCCACGGCTTCCAATCCTGGCAGTGACATGTTCCACTGGGGAGGTTCATCCTCTTCTTGGGGACCCTGGGCAAGAACATTATCCAGGTCCTTGAATGGGGCCTCTCTGTCATCAGTCCCTGCCAGTTCTGGCTGCCTTGGTGACTTCTTTACACTGCTTCCCTTGGTCAGGCATTCTGAGCAGAGATCTGACTTGCCGGGAACTACCATGGTTGGAAGGCATTGCGATTGGTGTCTGGCTTGGGCCCCGCCTCGCTCTGCTCTGGCCTGGCCTGTGGCCTTCTGCTGCCAGTTTCTCTGAGAGGGCTCCTCCACCGAAGAGTGGAAAGGGAAATTGCTCAAAATTGTTTTGAGCCACAGCGCGGCTCACGTTGCTTGTGCGTGTTTCTCGGCCTTGAGCATGTGCAAGTAATTGAAGCCCAAGGTGACAAGGTAACAAAAAGAATAAGTTTAAAAAAAAAGCTAAGTGCAGCGTGTGTTCTGGATTGCATCCTGGAACAGCAAGGGGCCATTAGAAGGAAGCCAGTGAAATGCTGTCTGGAGTTCCCTTAACACGGCTATGCCGGTGTTAATGTCCTTTTGATTTTGACAAATGCCCGTGGTATGTAAGGGGTCAGTGGAGGCTGGGTGAAGGTGGTGGGAATTCTATGCTGCTTTTGCAGGCTTTCAAACCACTCCAAAATTAAAATTTTGTGTTTTAAAAATAGTCTTTACGGGCTCTCTTTTGCTCTTAATTTTCTTTCTTCGGAATGGCGAATCCGACAGGTTTGGATCAGCCTGGTGAGCACGTGGATCAAATAACTGCATCTACCAGGTAATTGGTCTCAGTCTCCCCGACTATTCCCTTGGAGGGATGCAGCTGTGAGGACTGGATGAGATTGGATTTGAACATGCCCAGTACGTGGTAAACAAGAACAGGGGACCATTTGCTCAGGGCTGACCCCATCGCCTTCTCAATCCTGCCCAGTGGGTTTGAAGCAAGGAATCCTGTCCATCATCTGCACTTGGCATTCTCCATCATGCTTAGGTTGGCACTAAAGCCCTGTAACTACATTAGGACTCCCAAGTGTCCCGGGGATACTAATTGAGGGAAGATTCTAGAATCAATCAGTTTAGTTGCAGATAGCAGAGTCCAGTCTAACTGGTTTAGGGAGGAACAGGTTTATCACGGGCGGGTAAGTGGCTCACATAACTATCGCAGGAGTAGAGCAGATGCTAAGAGTTCGGGAACAGTGCTCCTACCCCATCCCCTCCCCAGATCTGTATCTGTGCTGGCCCTCCTGATGAGCTGGCCCTCCTGATGAGCTGGCCCTTCTGATGATGCCATCAGGAGGGGTTACTGAACCATGACAGCTGCCAATGGAAGGGTCTCCTGATCTCCACTGCCACTCTTAACAGTGCCTTGATGGCCCTCAGCAGACTGTTTCCTCCTATCCTTCCCTTCCTTGCAGAGAATCTGAGCTGGAAAAGCCCCATAGTATCCGGAGCTTTCAGACAAAGGGCAAAGCAAATGGCAGCCCCACTTTGCCCTTCCTGCACCACAGAAGAGCACAGAAGAGGTCAAGGGCAATGATCCAGCAAGTCCACAGCACCTCCCTGGGCCACACCTCTGGGTACTCAATATCCATGCACCCCCTGTTTCCACATGACCTCTTTCAAACAAAACCAGCAACAGGACAAACCTCCCTAATGCACCCCCTTCCTACGGGAATGGCAGCTCACTAAATGGTCTCCTTGGCAATGTATTCATTTCCTGATTTGCTAATTTCCATCTGAGCTTGATGTCCTGAAGCCTGTGTGCTAAACCATGAGATTGACTGCCGTGACCACCCTTACCACCATGCCTCTTTGTTCATGAGCAAGTATGGGGGAGGCTGGAGGTAGAGGAGGACTGGTGTGCACAGGGTGAACTCTTTGTTCACCTATCAAGAGCCTTCCAACACGGGTAACTGTTGAGAACATTCCTTGAGGGCTCACAAGCTTCCAGGGGTGTGGTGGGAGGGGTGACTCTGGTGGAGTGCATGCCTAATTATGGGAGAGATGCTAGATTCGAACCCCAGCACTGCAAAAAATAATCAGAGATTATGTGTTTCTATTGTATTCATGAATGAATAAGAAGAATGAGGAGAAGGAGGAGGGAGAGGAGGAGCAGTGGAGGAGGAGGAGAAGGAGGAGGAGAGGAGGAGCAAGAGGAGGAAGAGGAGGAGGGGAGGAGGAGCAGGAAGAGGAGACAGGACTCATAATAGTGGCAGTCTTCCTCAAACCCTTGCTCTACATCACTGTGGGTCACATGGTGAGAACAAGATACCAGGCTGTATCAGAAAACTCTGCAATCAAACCCATGGCCAAACTTCATACAAGGGTAGGAAGAAAAACCACAGCAGGCACACATGCACATTGACAGATATATATGATATGCACCATAGGCAATGACACACTCACACTACTCACACCTACATGCATTCACACAGACTGACTACACATGTATCCACACACCTTACAGAGAGACACACATAGACACACACATGCACACACCCCAGATCCCATAGACATATGTATATATATATATATCTCATACACCTATCACATTGCACAAACACAAGCTCTTCAAGGATGCAAACCTGCATATACT